GAAGATGTTGCCCCGTCACATCTGAAAGTACAATATGGTCTAAAAACTTTGAATGACATAAACAAAACAATAGATAAGCCAATTAGCAATCCTCTTCTTAGAAGGTCGTTCATTCTACGCAATGCCATTGGCCCATTGACGCAGCACACGCATAAATCCATTCGTCCAAACTCCTCCATCTAATCTTACTTATCCAACAAAAAATGCACGTGTGCGAGCTGTCCGCGTGTCCGCGTTTACGCGTCACCACCCAAGCTCCAATCCCCTGCGTAGCCACCCCAGCCACACCTGTACTGTACGTACGTACCTAAAACCCAACCAACCAACAAACAGTTGCCAGATAATCATTGTTGTCAACTCACGTGATAGTCACGTGCATGTCCCAAAAATTGTGCGTTCTCTCCGAAAACGTGTAAAGCCGTGGAGCTCGCACACGGATTTACATTAAACACGGGCGTTTGGAGGCGCTGGACTTTCCTTTCGCAGAGACTTGTCCATGCAGACAAAAAGCTTTAGAAAACCATAGCTGTCATCTCACTTCTTTTACGACTCAATAAAGAAAGACCTCCGATACATTAGAACAATTTAGAAAAAAAAAACTCATACTCTCATCTCCCCTCTGTTTTATTCATTTCCTCTCTCAACCCAATTAATTCTCTGCAAACACATTTTGGTTTCTTCACAGAAAAAGGAAAAAGGGATTGAAGAAGATGAAGTGGTCGCCATGGGCACGTGGGGGAACAAAGATGTTCCATGTCAAGGTCAAACAGTTAAAGCTTGAAGGGTTTGACTGCAATGGAAAGGTGGTGGGGGATGAGAAACAGAAGGTTGGTGTGGTGGTTGAGGTGAAATGGAAAGGGTCTCAGGCTGGTGGGGCTGGAGCTCTGGTTCCATTCTATGGCAGAAGATCTTCACGGCACCAGAAGAATTACACCAGCCATAGGTTTCTGAGCAGAGGTCATGAGGTCGTTGAATGGGATGATGAATTTCAGAGCCTCTGTAGTTTTGGGTTGAAGCAAGGGGGTGCCTTTAGCCCCTGGGATTTGACTTTCACTTTGTTACATGTAAGTTTCAATTCTTTATCCTTCATGGGGTTTTTTTTTATAAAAAAAAATTAAATTTTTTTAAGATTAAGCATTTTGGGTAATTGTTGAATGTTTGAAATTGAAAGTATAAATTTTTTATTTTTTGAATGTGAACTTTAGGGAGAGAGTGCAAAATTAAAGAGTATGGTGGTTATGGGGAAGGTTTCGTTGAATTTAGCAGAAATGGCTTGGAAGATGGAGTCTCAGATTCAGAGGAAGCTCTCTGTCACTTTGAAAATGGAAGGGATGAACCCAAGAGAAGCTACCCTTTTGGTAATTAAATTCATTATTTATTTACTATTAATTTATTTCTCATTTTTGTTTGTTTTTGGTAATTAGCTTCAATAGTACATTAATGGCAAATTAAGGATACAGATAAGATTTATCATTTATGGTGTTTTCAGTTTTTGGTCATCTGTCATTTTTACCTTTACAAAGTTGCATTTGCTCAACTGTAAATGAATTGTATTAGTCGCTTTAATTGGAAATTAAGGCCATGCTTAGCTATTTTAATTCCCATTTAAGGTAAAGTGAGTTTTTGTTAGGTCACTCTCATCCTAATTAGGCAATAATATTAATATCCAGCATATATTATTTATTTTCTTCAATTTTTGTGTTCATTATTCATAATGTTTTCAGATCAAGGGACTTGTAATTCTAGTGGTTACGAGCAGTTACTTACTCCGCACTTGAGGTTCCCTCCCCAATATCATTTGTCTTAAATAAAAATAAAAATAATTTTGGGCCTCCAAGTATAAAATATTGTAGTGAAAATATTGCTTTCTGCTAAAATACAAGTCCTTTTTCGTTGTTCATGTCATGAAACGGTGGGATCAATTTACTAGTTAATGTAAACAAATCTTGATAGGATCTTAGTTTTACTAAGTCTCGGCTTTAGCTCCCAAATAAAAAGAAAAGACAAGTTTGTAGTAATTAAATTAATGGTCTCGTTTTCATTTCATTGTAAGCTTATGGCTTTTCAATTTCTGATTGATGGTGCCTTATGCAGGTTTGTCTAAGCTTTTCTGAGGTCAGAAACTCACATGACTCGGCAGGACTCGGTCAAGACTCAGCTAGACTCGGTCAAGACTCGGCCGATTCAGACAAGGACAGGTTGCTTCGAAGTGTAAGCTACTCTAGGAGCTTTAGAAAGACAAGCAACAATGAGAGAAAGGGTCATAGGGACCGAGTCATGACTTCTAGTGACTGGGACGAGTCATCCCTGTCTGACTCAGAAGGGTCGTCACCAGAAAATGAACTCAGCTCGAATGGTGTCAGTGCAGAGTTGAGTTCAAAGCCCGAGTTGGGATCGTCCCCGAGTTGTTTGATTCGGTTTGACTCGGGCCAGAAGAGTTGGTTCTTGAGGAAGCGGAAGTGGTTGAGTGGCAAACCACCAAGGAGAAGAAAAGTGGAGCCCTCTGTTGAGAAGACTGGCAAGGCCAATGCACTTCAAATTTCTGCCGACAACAATCTCGGTGATTCTATACAGGTATGTGACCTTTTATTAGTTCAAAGTTGGAGTTAGGACAATGACATGGAAGTCTTGCTATTTAGACCACATCTACTCGATAAATATTTTCGTGGTAAAGACTTTTCTGTCACGTGACAGGTTGAATGACATGTCATGTGTTAAAAAATCTTAATTAAAATAGTTGGACGATATTTGCCACATAACATGTCCATTTACTATCACTTTGGCGATCGTCGTTTTAATAGAGGTGAGACCAACTTACATAAGTCACCTCTATTTAAAAAGTTGTCAACAACATAATGAGTAAATATATTGACCAAACAAAAAAAGGTAATGAGTAAATATGAATCCTTCAAGCTTTGCTAAACATATAATTCTTTCTGAGACAAAAGGATGTTCCCAAATGATGCTCATGTGGATTTTCTTTTTCTCCAGAAAACAGATACTACTGTTGAATATTCTTCAAACCACCAACATGGAGATTGTATCGCAAGTAGATGGGAATTAAAGGAAGTATTCAGCAGAGATGGGCTGGCAAAGCTCAAAACCAAAGTGTTCTTTGCTTCTTTTGATCAAAGGAGCGAAAAGGCGGCCGGAGAGAGTGCCTGCACGGCACTAGTTGCAGTCATCGCCCACTGGCTGCATTCGAACCAAGACTCGATGCCTACAAGATCCAAATTCGACAGCCTCATAACAGAAGGTTCCACAAAGTGGCAAAAACTCTGCAGCAACGAAACTTACATAAACTTATTTCCCAACAAACACTTCGACCTGGAAACAGTTTTGGAAGCTGATGTTAGACCTCTCGACGTCTCGCCTGACAAGTCTTTCATTGGATTCTTCAGCCCTGAGAAGTTCGAGTGCTTGAAAGGACTCATGTCGTTCGACGAGATATGGGATGAGATCAATAGAAACACCATGTTAGACAAACCAAGGATATACATAGTGAGCTGGAACGACCATTTTTTTGTGCTGAAGGTTGAAGCTGATGCTTACTATATCATGGATTCTTTGGGTGAGAGACTGTTTGAGGGGTGTAACCAGGCATACATACTAAAATTTGACAATTCAAGCGTCATGTATGGGAAAGCAGAGAAAGCAGAGGCTGGCTCAGAGGACATTGCAGGGTCTGAGAGTAACAAGGAGGAAAGCCTAGAAGAAATATGTAGTGGAAAAGAGTGTTGCCGGCAGTTCATTAAAAGATTTCTTGCTGCCATACCACTTGGGGAGCTTGAGGAGGAAGAGAAAAAGGGGACAGTATCTACTTTACCTCTCCACCGGCGTTTGCAGATCGAGTTCCACTACACCTCCTCCTCCTCCTCCTCATCTTCTTCCACTTTGTCTTCTGCAACTTCTTCCACTTACTCTCTCTTCTCAGGTGAAGAGAGTGCATAGAAATCAAGCACCAGAATTGTATAGAAGGGTTTCATTCCTTAACATTTTCTGATACTCTTGAGACTAGATAGATAATTTAATGAGATTTTAAAGTCGACTATATCTATGGGTCACATAACCAAAACGAAAAATAACTCTAACAAAAGAAAAGAAAAATGTTCCAAATTAGAGGATATGCTGAAACAAAGAAAGATGAGCTTTTGTTTTGACCCCACAGATGGCCTTTACAATTTATCACAATTCGTACCAAATTGCAAACAAAGAGCCCCATCCAGTCATTCATTAAAACATTTACTTTTCTTTTGCCTTGTTTGTTAATCAAACAAGAAACCACAAAAGCATAATGGCTCGAGATAATTGTGTGTATTAAAGTGACAAACTCCTTGTCCCCCACTCACACAAACAAAAATCTCCATCGAGTTCTTTCTTACTAAAATTTCCCCCAACTTCTATAATAGACCTATCTAAAGGTGGGCCCATAAGGACCATAACCTTATCTGTTACCACTAATGAATCAAAGATTATTCTTTAAACAGTAAAGTTTAGGTTTGTGTTTGTGTGGAATGTCCTCCCTTTTTTACATAGATCCCATATACCTAATAATATCCAAACACAACCAGAAAAGAATAATCCTATCCTATGAATCTCTTAGCCACACCATCACAAGGCCAATCTAATCAAACTCAATCTTACACAAATTTGAACAAGTTCAAGCCAGTTTGAGAGAAAGCGTAACCGCAAACCAAAATCTTCATCAAGTCAAAATTAAAGTTAATGCCATAACTACATGAAGTTCTAGGTTCTAGAAAGCATCATGGGTGACATATCACCATTTCTACATTGCAGATCCGAAGTCCATTCCCTCATCTAATCTAATCTCAGATTCACTATTTACATTTCATGTCTTACAACACTGCAAGAGCAGCTCAGTTCATTACCATGTAATGTAGCTAGGAAGTACATCAAGATTGGAAGCTTTCGGCAATACATAATCGCTAAGCCAATATCAAGATCTTGAGGCAACTAACTTTACTAAAGCAGGAGTCAGTCTACAAACCTCCATTTCTCATACTTCCAGTCAAGTGACTAAAAGGAAGCTCTGGCTGCCTATAAAATTTGGTATCCCCTGTTGGGTGATTGAAAGCTGCCTTTCGCTTTCTCACTGTCGCTTGTACATTCATATATTCACCTTCAAAATTCAACCTACTTGAATACAAGTCTCCTGGGCCATATTCATTACCCTTACCAATGAAAGAGGGCAGTCTATCGAATTGTGGTTGTGACTGTTCACTGCACATGGTCCCTTCCTGAGCACCAACATCTTTGACCTCTTCAGGCTGGCTGTTTTCACCGATTGAGTATTGAGTAGACAGTGGGCCTAACCGCAGAGACAAATCACACCCAACCGTACATGGGTTCTCAGTGTAGTCCCTGGTGTCTGTTTGTGTATTGTCATTTGATTTATCTCCATTACAGAGCAAATTGGAAATAACTCCCATCTTGGCAGGTTCTATTGGGTCAGAAACTGGTTTAGGAAGGATAACAAAACCAGGCTTGAGTTCTTCAAACTGAGGAAAATTTCCATAGTGCAGAGGGTATGAAGAAAAGTTAGATGTTGCCTTACTTTCCCTAGGGGAGAATTGGTCATAACCCAAAGGAGGAATATTTTCGGAAGCAATGCTGAATTTCATAGTAGTGCAGTCATTATTTTGGACAACAGGGAATCTAGATTCAAAGCCAAGATGGGTTGTCATACTTTTGGGTTTCACAAAATTTGGACAATGAGGCCTATACTGTGAATTGGATGTGTAATCCCTCTGACTAGCATTCTCTACTACGCTAGGAGAAATGCTAGGGACATCGGAAGTGATGGGAATCAGATAACACCGTGGATTAGTATGTCGTTGACTCCTTGAAGTTCTTCTTGGAATGCACCCCAAATTGAGAGCAGCTGGGTTGTTATATGAAAAATTAAGAGTTAACACAGAAAGAAAATATACAATTAAAATTAGTAGTCTTATACATGGATAACAACCAAGAAAATACTAAACAATATCAAGAATTTATGTCTCATCCAAAATTTTATTAACAGCGATAAAAACCCAGATGCAGATATCCAGAGACTGATTCTGGCCCAAATTTGCAAACAGATTCAACCAGAAAAAAATGAAGTCAAAACTGTTTTAGCTACCTTCAATACAAGGCTGAAGAAAGTCTCCAGTTTCAGTACCCTCATCACGCCGAATTATCGTGTTAATAGCATCATTTGTTCGGTCCCAAAGGGTTTTAAGGTCCATGTATTCAGCCTATAAAAGAACAGAGTTCCAAAGCACAAAACTTTACAAGAGCCGAATAAGTAAAACTTCAGCGACATACACCACAACTCGTTCTGCTACTAAAAATGTAGAAAATAGAAAAGGCAAAATTGAATTCTTAAAATCAATACTCATTAGTATCTAGAATATGGGTAAGCAATTTTGGTTGAGATAAGAGCAGGAAAAGAGTAAAAGACTACCTCAGAATTTGCTTTGGAGTACATAATTTCTTCTGCTTTCAAGACAACAATTGGGAGCTTATCTTGCCATTCTTTGTTCTTCCTGGTAGCTGAGCTATGGATCTCATTCACAACCCTGAGCAAAACACATAAGTGATTACTATTTAGAGACAAACAGACATATGCACAAATGTAAAGTTCAACATTTCAAAACCCACCCAAAACCCAAAAATACAAAAAATACAAAAAGCAAAAATAGACATGCAAATTTAGAGTTGAGATGAGAGTGGGGAACCTGAAAATTTCTTTAATGAGAGAACCTCTCATGGGTTGGTGTCTCTCACTATGCCAAGCTCTCCTAACACACTCATATGGTCTTGGGCCTGATCTTGGCATCCTCACCAATTCACACACACACACACACCAAGAGGGGGAGAGAGAGAGAGAGAGAGAGAGAGGAGCAAACTTCTTTAACTCCAATTGGGCTCTAATGAAAAAAGTTGAGAACTTGAGGCAGCTTCTGCCTGTGCTTTCTTTCTTCTTCACTGTGACTCCCTCAAAGACTTTTCTTTTCAAGACACTGACCCAAAATGCAGCAGTTCCACCAAGATTTCAAGTGAGCAATAGAAGAGAGAGAGAGAGAGAGAGAGAAGGGCAACTGGGTCGGGTGTCTGTTTGTTTGCTATGCTTTTTTTATTTATTGGTTTTTTGAATGTCAGAAACTCAATAATTTCAAAGGGTTTCAATTGATGAGTTTGGTGTGTCCCCCACTCATCCACATGCCTGCTTCCCCTAACCCCAGGAGTCCCTCTCTCTTTTTTAATTGCTTTTGTTTTTTGGCTCTCTCTCTCTCTCTCTCTCTCTCTCTCTCTCTCTCTCTCTCTCTCTCCTGACCAGTGACCGCAACATTGATAATTCATGTATTCATGTGTTCATGGAATGGTGTGGGGGAGAGAGTTCAGAGTTCTGATGATATTTGTCACTGTCGGTCACCTTTAAGCAACCCCAACTTCACACAAACTGTTAATACATGGCTTCCCAACTCAGAAACCAACCGTACTTTACAACTGATCGTGTGTACAATTTACACAAATTATTTGACCCAAAGACCAAATTTAAAAAAAATATATGTAATTTAGTCTAAAATTTACGATTTAGGGTTTAAAATCTATTCTCTAAAATCTAAATAACATTGTTTCATGACAATCACTCGCATACCCATCGACGATAATTTTACATGCATCCACAATAATGAGTGTTAATAGTAGAAAATCATCCACGTGTCAGCACCTGTGTAGTATTCTTAAAATCTAAATGTTATGAGATATACGGAAAAATATGCTTGGTAAGTCAACATAATTGTGATGTGATCCTGCCCCTTATCGCTTTAGGACAATATTTCATCAAACTATTGGCTTAAATCAAATAGTTAAGCGTTTATTAAAGGAATAATACTAGTCTTACCACATTTTTTATACAACATGATGTGGCGGCTGATGTGTACATATCACATCATGTAAAATACTAGTTTTTGTTTTTCTAATTTTATTTATTAAAATACACTTCATTCATTTAATTAATATGACATATAATATAGACATGTCACATCATATAGTATAAAAATGTGAGATAATAATGTGGTAAGTGTAGCATTAGGAACACATGCAAATTTATTAGGGGAAAAGTACATTGTACCATACTTTTGGTTTGAGAGGAAACATGTGCCACACATGCCATCCATCATGCATTATTTGCGAAAGATATTTGATTTAGTAATATTTAATCTTCATTTTAGAACATGATCCAATTGTTATTGATTGTATTCAATAAATTTCTACAATTTGAAAACAAAAAGATAGTGGGGGACTTAGGATTGCACCTTGAGTTTGAGTTCAAGATTTGTGTACATAATTCAAAGTAGGATTCAAGGCCTAAATGAAGATTCAAAATCTAAGTTTTAGAATTTGAGATTTAAGGTTGGAATTCGAGGTCCGAGCATATCGAAAATATTTTCTTGGAAAAGTGAAGCTTTCGCATTACAAAACATATGGTACAAATTTTTTTCATCATTGCCAATTAATTTTGTATTTTAAGATAGAGTAGGGTACAAATCCGAAACTTGATTTTGGGCCGGAGTCCGATATGGGGATTCGAGTTAGTTAATTTTGTTGTCTCTCCAAAGTCCAAACCCAATTCTAGACACCACACACACGAGGCCTTAAGTTTCAAGTAGAATGACAATTTTTTCGATCAAAACTTAAAAGTCGAAAAAGTTGCGTCCTTTTCTGCCTCCACCAAACCTCCAATTCCAAGCATCACTATGCGGGCCCACAAATTAGAGACTTAGGAGAGGAGGCCCACCTCATCTGCATGCCTACCACGTGTGCATCTACCATGATATCCAACAAAGCTTGTATATAAATTATCCGTCCCCGATTCCATTTTTGATTTGATGTAATCACAGAACTATATTGTGCAAATCAAACGGGTCTGATTTCTCAGATGACGACGAATCAGTCTGCAATTGCGCATAAATAGGACCCACCCACATAACAGCGCAAAGACAATATACCCCATCAAAATTAATAAATATAACCGCGCATTAACTGTAAAGAAAAGAATCCCACCCAAACCATTAAATTGAGGCGAAAACTCGAACTTGAGTGCAAGAAGACACGCTTATTCTAAAAAAATAAAAAAGAAGATGTTATCACTTCCTTGCGAACTTTCTTAATCTGCATTTGCAGTTTTTTTAGCACGCGAAAATAGGGAAGGAGATTATAACAACTTAGGTACAAACTGAACCACTTAAGCCACACATCCATTACAAACTATTAGACTGAATTATTCACACATAAACCAGGTTATTTAGCATTAAATCCCCTTTATATCCTCCAAACAAAAGATAACAAATTATTTTTAAAATAAGTTAAAAAGTAATTTAAAAATAAAAAGCATTTTTAGGTTGTCATTAATCTTATCCCCGCCGTCAATCACCATGCTCCTCATCTTCTTCCACCAAATCTCACTCTCCATTTTCCACTAAAAATACCAGTCACTATCTTTGTATCTTTTTCAACCACAATACCATGCTCTCCCCAACGCCATTTTCTCTCATCTGCACTGTTCTTCTTTGCTTGCCTCTCACCATAATTTTCACCATCACAAGCCAAACCGCCACCACAACCACCATCATCCCTACCCAAATATCCCAATCCCCAAAACTCACCAAAACCTACCAAAAAATCAACCTAATTTCACCACCAAAATCCCTTTCATTAGATGATGACTCGCTCTTCCGCCTTGCCGCCCGTGTCAAGTCCCGCCCACCCTGCTCCGATCGCCCTAAAATCGCCTTCCTCTTCCTAACCACCACCCATTTCCCATTCTCCCATCTTGGGGAACGCTTCTTCAACCAAACCCCCAAAACCCATTTCTCTATCTAAGTCCACGCCGACCCTAGATTCCTCTATGACCCGCCGTTTTCCAGCATCTTCGCCCACTGAGTCATCCCTTCCCGACCCGCCCAGCGATTCACCTCTACTCTTATCTCCGCGACCCGTCATTTGCTCGCCCACGCGCTCCTCGATGACCCCAAGAATTCCATGTTCACGCTTCTCTCTCCTTCCTGCATCCCCATCCGGTCCTTTAACTTCATGTACCAAACCCTCATCCGATCGAAGAAGAGCTTCATTGAGATTCTGGACAACGAGATCGGGGCGTACGATAGGTGGGCGGCGCGTGGGGAGGACGCAATGCTGCCGCAAGTGAAGCTGGATGAGTTTCGGATTTGGTCCCAATTATGGATCTTGAAGCGGAAGCGCGCGAGGATGGTTGTGGGTGACCACCGGCTCTAGTCCAAGTTCAAGCTACCGTGCCAGTGTTAGGACACGTGTTACCTAGAGGAAAATTATTTTCCTACCCTCCTGAACATGAGAGACCTAGGCGAGTGCGTGCCTGCTACCCTCACTCATGTGGATTGGCGCGGGAGATTCGATGGCCACCCCCGCACGTATGAGGCCTCTGAGGTAAGGCCCGATTTGATCATTGCCCTGAGAAATGACAGGGTGAAGTACGGTGACGAGAAGGAGAGCGACAATGGCTCTGATTAGTCCGTGGTGGAAAGGCGGGATCCGTTTCTGTTTGCGAGGAAGTTCTCACGGGATGCAAATTGGATCGTTGATAAGTATGGCCAATGACGTCATCTTCAAGGATTAAGATGCGATGGCATATTTAGGAATTTTATTTCTTTTTTTTGGTTTGTAATTTACAAATGAAATTATTAACAAAAAGAAAAAAAACGAAACCGGGACAAACTCGATGGGTTTGAGGAGCAAAATGTATATATTTTTCGTTTATTGGTTTTTGAGGTGAGTTTTCTTGGTTTTTCCAAAGTGGAAAAACATGTTTGGTTAAGCCTAAGCGGTGCAATGCCTCTTTTTAGACTTTTATCAGTGGTAGTGTTTTGGCTTTATAGATTCCCCTACGGCCAAACTAAGTGATTGTCAATGATCAAAAGCTTTGCCCTTTAACAAACTTAAAAGGATCCTAATGTTTTGTTTTCATAGGAACTGCCTAACTTTGGCTCTTTTTTCTTATGTAGTTGACGCATGTTGTAATGTCTACCATTCATCGTGTCACACGACATAATAGATGTCATGTATTGGGTAGGGGCGTAGTTGGGACTATGCCAAAAATCGTCTTGTCATCTCTCCCCATCCAAAATTTTTCATTATCTGAATAGCCAAAAAGGATTGTATAATTAAATTGTGTGTTTCACATTTTGACCCATAAACATTGAAGTTTTGGCTCTAACTTTCTACATGTCATACGTCATTTCTGTTATGTAAGATTTTAGGTAGGAAAAGGTAAAGGGGAAAATGATGTGCCACATTGTCGGCTAGAAAATGAGATGAGGTAGGTGGAAGGTACCTAGTAAATCTAGGCGGGGGAGTTGCATGTATTTACATCAGGGTTGGTGAAGAGGTATTAATTTTTTACCAAAAATATAAATAAAAATTACTTTAAGCATGTTGCTTGGTATCATAGGTATGTTGAGATGATTTTAAAAAAATGTTGTTTTTGTTTGGGTCAGTTACTATGAATGTTATTTGGACACGTGGTTGTCAAATCTAGCGCCTAGTCCGCTAGCGGCTTTAATGGTTTTTTTTTAATTTTTATATTTAGCAACTCACTCACTCACATCACATGTTGCATTTGCAAAAGGCTAACGCACTATTGTCTTGACATCTGTCCCCACATTCTCTTTTTATTTTATAATCAATTTCGAATAATTATTTTCATAGAATTATTATAAAAATTCAAAATAGTTATTATTTTTTATTTTCTCTATTGAAGAGAAGTGGATGAAGATTATTTTAAAATAATTTTAAAAATCACCGGGCCGTGGACTTATTATGATCGTAATAGATAAATGAGCTGTTGGCCCCAAATTGGATTAACCAACTCAAAGAAGTTGGATGGTTTGATTGAACCCAGTTTACATCATAAGCATTTTCAACAGATGTTGGGCCTATTTAAATGGTCCATATTCATCCATATTATTCTTTAATGGACTGACCCAGATTTGAAAACTAATCTGGTTTCGGCTTGTGCTTCTCTATGTGCACCCAAAAAGAAGAAGAAAAAAAAAAACTCTACACTCAATTAATTTGATCCAACGATTATGACAGATGGCCTTAGATAAGGCTCTCACTATAGAGCGACTGTGCTACAGAATTCTACCATCTGGATATATGAAAACTTATTTGATTTGGGCCCACCACATTGGCCATCTAATGATAACAAGGAAATTAGCCCAACCCAACCCAAAAATAGAAAAATAGAAAACTCAATATCTTAAGCTGTTTTAGATACAAATCTAATATGATTTTGTCAAAGTTAAAAAGGAGAGAGGAAAAACTCACACATGAATACTACGGAGAATTAAACCACGACCACTTGGAAGCACACTAAAAGCTTGAACTAATTAATCTAACACCCGATTGATTGACGACTCTTAACGACTTCAATTGGCTCATCTCATGCACACAATCAAATGGTGAAAAAGCCTTCTATAATGCTCAAACGCAAAGCTGGTGAATGGCGATGATTATGGGTGAGACAGAAACCCACCAAGAACCATAGATATATAGTACAAGGAGAGTCCTCCAAATCAAACAAGGAGAAGGGCATGCAAAACAATGATGAGAGAAATTGAGTAACAATCTCAAAATTGACGACCAACGTGTTAAACATATTGGCCCAGTAAGCAGAGCATTATGAGCCTCATAAAGGAGACTTGGACCCATCTGCCCCATCATTGAACAATGCCAAACCAAAATCGCCATCAGCTATCAAATCAAACCACAAGGGGCAGTTTGTTCAACTCCATATAAAAAATAGCATGGACATATATACAATTTTTCTGTGCAGGGTGAAAATGTATCGATAATATATACGTACGTTTTGCCGACATAAATGAGAGATGATGAAAATGTATTGATAACATGTCTGTACGTTTTGTTGACATAGATGAAAAATCGAAATATTATCAATAACATATCGACAATCAGACGTCACCTGGACTACAAAAATATGTATGATTTATGTGGTCCTCAAATACTCATGGGGCAGAGTTCAGATGACCTATCCCCTCTTCAGCCCCACAAGATGCAGAGAGCTGCAGTTGGCCTCTCGATGTTGATTTGGTTTGGGTAACAATTCTAGGTAAACCATTATTTCTGATGTTGGTGTTGGATTTCGAATGTACAAATTCGATATGATTTGTTCAACTAATTTGAATTTGTTCTCGGAAAATTACAATTTAATATAAAACGATGACCCGTTTATACAAATGAAACTTGCGGTCAATCATGCATGTGTTATTTGCCACCTTTGTTGACGGAAAAGTCGAAGGAATGAACAGCTTGCCATTTGGTTAATAAGAACATTTCTGCGACTTATAAAATCCACCGACAGTGTCAAAATGGGAAGGACTGATTTTTCTTCTGTTTTGTTTTACATTTGGTCCCCCCAATTGGGTTCAATAAAAAACTTCAAATACCAACTACCAAAAAATAATACAGTTTTTTCTTTCTTTCTCTTTCCATAGGAGAAATCGATCATATTAATAAAATCAACTGTAATTTCATAATTTGTAACAATCAAATTATTCAAGATAAAGAATAAAATAAATAAAATAAAAAAAGTAATAATCAGCTGTCTTTAAAATATAATAAAATATTAATTTGACATTTTACTTTTGGGACGTCAAAAGTAACAACTGAAACCTCCAGTCTTCATTTCACATCAGCTTTGACAACTCGGTTGAAGTGATGTGAGATGTTATTTTTAGCCATTAAATGTCCATATTTCACTTTTGACATATCAATTAGAGATGCTTTAACCACTCTCAAATGAGTATTTGAATGATATTATTCTGCGTTATCGGGATTAACTAGAAGGTTCAGGTTGAATTCAACCAGTAAGAGTATGACTAATGTCATTATATTATAATCAAAAGTTGGAGTAGGGTTAATGAAGCACAAACAAAAAGAAAAGAGTAAAGGGTTAAAGTAGAAAAGCCATGAAAGAAAAGAGGAAGGATGGTGGGTCATGGATGCCAAATTCATGAAAAAGTGGTGGAACATACTGGAAAGGAACCTAAATCCACTGACAGTTGTTTTCCACACAACACACACCACCCCACAAGCCATAACAAGACAATATTGTTCTTTTTCTCCTCACAACATTATTGTGTGGACTTTATGGCATTGAATTTTTATCTCACCCTACTGAAAAACTAACTTCTTAAGCCAAATATCAAATTTAAATTTGATGACTGATGTGGTAATTTGACATCTTACACAACTTTACACTCTACACGGTATGTCAAATTAAATTATTATTTTATTATATTTTAGTGTTGATTCATTTTTAATTAAAAAATAAAAAATATATATATATTCATTTGACATCTTGCTTTTGGAATGTCAAAAATAACATTTCAACCTCTAGTCTTCATTCCATATCAGTTTTGACACATCGGTTGGAATGATATGAGATATTATTTATAGCTGTTAAATATCTACGTGGCACGTTTGACACCTCAATTGGAGATGCTCTAATACGATGAATTGTTTATTTTCAAGTCGGCGTCAAAAGAGTCAAAAAATCCAATTTGAGAAAATTGAACTACTTGATTATTATCATGATTATTTAATTGTTTACATGAAATATTATATTCATCTATTTAATCTATTTATTTGATCATAATTAGACGACTTAATATTGTCCGATTTCATTGATTTATCTTGAATGTTGAATTAAAAATTGAACAATTTTGTTGAGAGTGTTAACCTCCCCACTTATTGTCAATTCATTTTAGGTTAGGTGATCGCCTTATTAACTTACTAACCGGCAAACGTCACATATATAATTCTTCTTAAAAAGCCGAAAAAGGGAAAATAAAACAACAACTTAGAATCCTATGCCTTGTTCTTAATGATTAGTGCAGCCAAAAAGTAGTATTTGATTTGCAGGGGTCACTTATCTAAGACCCTTGATTTGGAATTTGGATTAGAACGACTTTAATTTGGACTTGGGTGAGTACTTGGAGTTACTAGTTATAAAACAAAGAAGAATTGTGGCCAAATCTGACAAAGGAGGTCGTTTTCAGTTAATTCTCCTTGCTTTCTTTGACACCACGAAGCTGCTTTGGACTATTGTCTATCGTTTATGTCGCAGGTCTCATTTCATTTCTTTCAGGTCTTGGAACTTTCCTACTCTCAGTTTCTGTCCGGATTAGCAAACCATAATCCGAATTTAGTCAAATTATATCCAAATTGGGTCCAGATTAGTTAGGACAGCAGGTAAAACATAGTTAAACAGCTTCACCAAAGAAGAAACTCGCTTTGTATCAAATTGAATGAATTAAATTTGGTTACCAAAACAACAATCAGAGACTCTTGTCTGTTGATATATAAAGAAAAAAGAAGAAAAAATTGTCAACAAATTCTAATATTACAAAACACAAAGAGACATCATCACAAATCGATTTTACGTATATCCGAGCATCAAAATCCCCCCACAATGACGAATCTCTTCATTTCAGTCCCCTCTCTTCCACCCAACCATTTTCATGCACAAGTTGCAAGAACAGGCTTAGAACAATTCATACAACATAGAAAAAATATACTAGGAAAACATCATACAAAATGAACAAAGAGTAAGTCATTTATAGGCAGGCAAATGAGGATCACAATAATCAGTAAGGAGTGTAGTAGTACCCAGCCGGCGGCGGCATCCCAATTCCATTTGCCGGAGGCATTCCATAAGGTACCGGAGGCATACCATAAGGTGCTGCTCCGTAGTACCCCGGAGCGCTCATTTTCGCCAAACTACCTTGGCCTTGCATTCCCTCCTTGGCATACTGATTCCATACCTGCTGCTCCTGCACAAGCAAATGCTGTTTCTTCTCCAGATCCGCCATTTGCACATAGGAAGGCGGTGGAACGGTTAATGATGCAGCAAATGGGTCCTGATTCACCGCTTGAACTGTCCCGTCTGGGGCGGGAAGAGCCAACACCGGTGTGGCGCTCTTCCCTGGCCCGGGCAATGCTACACTACTAGCACTACCGCCACTCAATTGGGAAGTGCTCACATGCTGCCTCACAACGCCCTGATCATACATTCCATCCAATAACAACGGATCAAGCCCGCCACCCAGATTTTGTTTCTGCCTAGATAAATTGCTTGCTGTTTCTACCAATGCCAGTTCCCAATCTGCCTTGCCGGCCTCCGCAGCAGGGGTCTGCCAAGCTGAGGTGACTTGGGGCTGCCCATCTGATGGGAAAGCTTCCCATGATCCATTTGCAGGTCCACTACCACCAGGACCAGCAAACAAAGCCAAAGCCAACTTATTCCCCTGTGCATCAGCTGAAACCCCATCATCCCTCAAATCCACCAAGTCCGGTACCACTTCCTGTTTGGGCTCCGCCTTCTCCACAACCTCAGGGGGCGGTGGCGGAGTGTAATTCTCCGGCGCTGGCAATGCCTTAATCTCATTCATATTTTGGGGCTCCTCCTCTTGAGGAGGCGGAGGAACAGGCTCCACTCTCCTCTCAGGACTCTTGGTTCCCTTCGACCTGTCCCTCACAAACTCCTCCAATGTGTCCAATAACTTACTCCCAATCCTTTGCACCTCTGGATACTCTGACGACCGGGCCAGACCCGAATCCTTGCACCAGGCATAAAAACCGACAAGCTCATCAATCTGCTTTGCCGCGCTCGCATATGCATCAAACGCTTTCACACAATCCGGATACTCCATATCGAAAAACTTATCAAGCAAAACCGCCAAAACCTCACAGATATCACCATACAGCTGAAAGCTCTCCCTCACCACCGGGTACACAGCAACCAAAACCATCCGACTATTCTTCGCCAAACCCGTGGGTCGGGTCGCCAGAAACCGATCCAACAGCCTCTGCAAATGACCCATCTTCGCAAAAATCTGCTCCGGCTTCATATCCCTCAATGGGGTCACAGCCCTCTTCTCATCTCGCCCGTTTCGACTCACCGATTCATTCATATCCCCGTAAGACCTCGACTTTCTCATCCCCCCTCCATTCTCATAGTCCTTAAACTCCCGATCTCGCTCTCCTCCATACTCATACTCGTAATTCCTCGGCGGCGGAGACCTGTAATGCAAAGACCCATTAGACCCAATCGAGCTCTGTCGATCTCCAACACCACCACCACCACCACCACTCTTCCTCTCGAACAGCATGAGCTCGAGCCTCTGATCCAAGTACAGAGCGTATGTCCTCACAAAAGCAGAGTGATCCCACGAGTTCGAGTGAGCCTCGTCCCTGAAATCCGATAGGTTCAGGAGGCGGGTCCCCCTCCGGGTCGCGTACACGATCTCGTCCCCGAACACCGGGTCGCCGTCGTTCAGCAGGCGGTGGACGAGCATCAGCGCCTTGAGGGCCACGATCCAGTCGCGCGTCTTCCCCAGACGCTTCGACACCGCCGACACGCACGCGTGGACGTAGCCCCGGGACGATGACGTCAGCGTCAGTATCTCCCGCACGTGCTTCTCGCTCGCCGGCTCGTCCTCGTGCGACGTCGCTTTGACGATCGCCACCTCCAGGTCCGGCGCCAGGTTGCTCGCTACCTTCGCGATGCCTATGCTCGTCTGGTCCTTGACGGCCCCGATCGCCTTCCGGATCGTGCTCGGCGCCATCTCCGCCGTCGATTTGCTTCCCCTCGAATTATATATGCCGGCTGAGATTTGACGGAAATGGCCGAAACGGGTTCGCTTTAATGCTTTTTCCTAAAAATACTGAAGAGAAAGATTGAGTTTCTAAAAATAGAAGGGGGCGGACATTTTGGTAATTACCGTCGGTGTCGGGGGTTGTCTAGATCTGCGGCTAGGACAGTCCGGCGGGTCGGATCTCGGAGCCGGTATGAGATCGGAGCAGAGATTTCTCGTGCTTTTTGTTGGGTTTCTCCCTCTTATCTCTCTCTGTCTGTGTCTCGAACAGAAGAGAGGAAGAAAAAAGTGAATTTAAATAGTGGGTTGGGGTCCGGGACGTGGAGGGATGTGAACCGTGGATTGGATCTGAGATCTGGGAGCTGGTTGGGACTTGAGAGTAGCTGGGTTCGATTTACGGTAGTGTCGGGCGGCGTGTCTGAAAGAAGCATGACACGTGTGAATGGGTTCTGATTGGGTGGAGCGGAGCTCATTTTAGTAAAGGAGGCGTCAACCGAGCGTACGGCTTACGGTGATGCTTACCTGATTGAGACGTCCAAAAGTAAACTCAACCATCTGACCAAAAAAAAAGCAAACTAAACTCTACTCAAATAGATTCCATCATTTAACTTCTTCTTTTTTTTTCTTTTTTTTTTTAATTTAAGAGAGAAGGAAATTCAAACTAGATGCAAAGTAGACACCACATCATTTCTAGCCAACTTAACTAAGCCCGTGTATACTTTTTGTTCCTCTATATCCTAATTGGTAATTAACGTTTTTCTTGTTTAAATTTTAACCCTTTAACAAATTAGACGGCTATATTATGTGAATAATTTAAGTATTGACAATTATAAAATTTTGAGAGTTGACCATGATTTGTAGCAAGAGGAAACCAGGTCATTTTGATATTTGTTTATAACCTTACGTATAAAAATGTCAAGATGTTGAAGGGCCATCTTAAAAAAAATATAAAGTATTAATGATTATGATTTAATCTCTCACTTAAGAATGCCAATTGATCCGAATCTCGGAATCAAGTTCTAATTTAGAATAGTTTAGACTATAATTTATATTTAACACAAAATAGCATATTAATTTATTAAAAAAAATGATATTTACCTTACAGTTAACATTTTCTATTAGCCAAATCTGATTGCTTCTCAAACCCTAGACTTTTATTAATAATGCAATGAGTAAAGAATCTCACATGTTTAGTGGTCTTCCTTTTTCTCGAAAGTTACAAGATATCTAGTGATTTAGATATTTTTCTTTAAATAATACATATTTTTTTTCTATTAAAACAAACACATGCAACCATAGGGGGACACCTAGAAAACAAGTTTTTCTTTTCTTCTTTTAACATGGATGGATCAAACAGAAGTTCAGTAATGTTTTTTTATTTATTAATAAAGTTATTTTGCAAGATGTTTTGCACCCTTTTCTTTTAATAAAGAATATTATTAATGAAAAGAAAAGGCTTTTGTTTAATTAATGAAGGAGAGGATGAAAGATAAACTGTACCAACAAAAAACTAGAATAAATAAAAAAGAAATAAATGGATTTTGTAATTTTATACGAACATATAAGAAAAAAGTAGGAGTTTTGAACAACAGATCGCGTGGCCTAATGGATAAGGCGCTCGCCTCCGGAGCGGGAGATTGTGGGTTCGAGTCCCACCGTGATCGCCTCTTTCTTTTATTTTTATTTTTGTTGGAGTTGTGACATATTTATTTATTTATTTGTCAGACTTTGTGATATATTTATACACAACATAAATTAAAAGAGTTTGATAAACTAGATTTTGAATACTTTGATTTGATTTGAGATTTGACCCCAAATTTAACATTTTTGTGAAAAAAGCCTCTTATTCTCTACATACCCATTTGCCCATTTTTACAAATGCACTTGTTTTAAGCAAACAAATATTTATACCCAACAAAGGCCATCACTTCTCACATTCTCACTTTCATTTGCTCATTTCTTGGGTATGTCTGTATGCACCCTCATATGCCCAGGTGCATCATCCTTTATCCACCATAAGTAGAACACTGATGACACTATCACAACAGCAGCTGCACATCCAAGTGAGATCCCCACAATTCTCCCCACTCGCTTCCTCCCACGGTTTGCAGAATTACCAGCACCTGGGACTACAAGAACGCATTCGCAAAACAATAAACAGATTAGTTAAGCACAATTTAGTTCACTAATGAACGAAATAAGACGCATCATTCGCAATTTTAATTTTTTTTGCTTGCAACGAGTGTGTACAATGCTGCATAATAACTAGTCATGTGATCAATATGTGAATGGAGATGATAATAACCTTGACGAACATTGATTGCTGACACTAAGGGGCCATATGTGCCTTGCAATGGAATGCAGCAAGTGCCTTTGCCAGCCCACATGAAGTGGATGTTCATGATTGTGTTGGAAACGTTTGTTTCGAATGTTTTTATCAGTGCTCTCTTTGACCCCCCTGCTTCCTTCTGGATGTTGAAGTCTTGGAGGACTCTCTCACCCTTAAACAATCGAATGCAAGCATGTCATGAGGGAGGGGAAGAGAGAATAAACAAAGCAAGCAAGAGAAGGTGCAAGAAAAGCAAGCCTTAGTTACCTGAATGTAGACGTCGAAAATGCGCCTTCCAAGACCTTTCCAAGAACTTGTGTCATCTTCCATTGTTATCTCTGCAAAGTGAAGCTCAACAATGTATTTCCCATTCATCAAATCAAGGCCAAAGTACCTCAGTGAGCTTGGCGAAAGTCTTGCTGTCTTGTACAGTTCAGACTCTAGAGTTTCTGTGATTTGAGAATCTGTGCTTGCTATGTACCGAGGTCCATTTGAGTTGAAAACAAAGTTTCCTGTGCTGCTCACTGCCCATCTGGAGCTTTTGTAGAATGAAGCAGCTCCAAGTGTTTCAGAATCGTCGTCATATTCAATGCCGGATGCAGATGTCTGGCTTGTGCCTCCACATTTAATAGAAAATGAAGCTGCAACAAAACTTTTCCTGGTAAATTTTATTCAGTGACTAAAATCAAGATGAAGGGCAAGGAAAGAACTTCACTTACACAATGCTGGGATTTGATTACTGCACTTGGCATCTCCCTGGAGGCAATTCAACAATCCAAAACCCCCCCTGACTCCATGACCATTTTAATAAGGAAAATATCAGAAATACTTCTGATATTATGCTCACAATTGATAAAGTTTTCACATTTTCTTCATCTTTAGTTTGAATCGCAAGTATGATGTTGTTACTGAGGTTTTGGATTTTCTTTGAGCCCCCATGACATAATATTTTTGAAAATAACACTCAGTAATATATATTACCTGTCTGGTAAACCATTTCCATTGATAGATGTACCAAGCACATTCCTGAAGAGAAAAACACAGAAACTTCTGCTGAATTACAAGATAAATTACCCTAAAAGATGGTCACATATTTTTTTTAATATGACTGGAAAAGGGAAGGTTAGCTTACATTGAAAATCCTGTTCTGACAAAATTTAGAGGCAAATTCCCAGACATAGGATTGAAGGAGACATCTCTGTAAGTAAACAATAAATTTAGCTGGTTTAATCTCTCCATCTAGGATTGGCAAAGCTAAAGGTGCCACTTACAGTGCAATAAGCTTTGGAGTTATGATATTAGTAGGTAGTTCTCCACTCAAGTTATTGTCTCCAAGGTATCTGAGATCCACAAATGAACTTTTTCAATGAGGAAAATCATAATCGTGGTGAACCGAACACATTATTATACTGATAATTTCAGCTTAAAAAGTTAGAAGTAATTCATAATAATCATGTAATAACAGATGCTGCTAGTTTTATCATCCAACCCAATCAGAACTGCAGAATGATGGCTGAATTGATTAAGAGACTAATTGGGTTTTTTTTTAAATAAGGTTCAAGGAGGGCATGTGCAGCAGTAGCCATAGTCTGTTTGATTCTAATAATGCATTATGTAAGCAAAATGCAAATAAGCTTACTTACAGAAACTGTAACACAGTAAATTCTTGGAATGAGTTTGGTATTTGACCAGTCAACTTGTTGAAGCTCAAATCCCTGTCATAGTGAAGTCATTTGGATAAATGGACATATAACATCATATGTCCATTTGAAATCATGAGGAGGAATGAATGTCAAGCTACTTACAGGTATTGCAACTTAGCAAACTTGCCAATTTGTTCTGGAATTTTGCCGGAAACTTGACAATTTCTCAAAGACCTACAACAAAATTTGAGAAATTTGTTTAAATTGTAAATTAGAGATTTGAGCAGCTGGTACAAAGTTCAAGGAGATTTCAAAGGTATAGGTCATACAATGTGGACAAACTTGTGAGATTCTCCAAAAATCCAAGAGAAGAATCTTCCTCACCAAGATCACCAACTCGCCTACACAAGCGCATTAGAAATGAGAAATTCCAACAAACAACACAAACTAAACCTCATTGATTTAGTAATGAGAAAGGGCTTGTGCAGTAAAAACAAGGCATTACTACAAAAACATCAGTTAGTATATAAGGAAATGAAAATGATACACATCAACCAGGGCTCACAAGATGTCTAGTTTCACCAGAGCACCAAAGTTGCTCGGAATTGGGCCTTCAAGCAATGTCCCTTCAAGTCGCCTGTAAACGAGAACACAGTAGCTGTTAAATTCCAGAAGTAAAATAAAATCCAAGTAGAAATGTATTAGTGCCAATGAAATCCAAACATACAAGTCTTTGAGTTCTGCAAAAGTCCCTAAGAATTCTGGGAGTTGTCCAGTGAAGAGATTATCAGATGCCCAGCTGACAAGAGAAAAGATAAAGCCACAATTGGAACTTACAGATACACAAATGAAATGCTTCAATATTTCAAAACAAAAGAGTCATGCAAGTACAGAGTGTTAAGGGATTTTAAGTTGGCAAGCTCCTGAGGAATTGGTCCGGTCACTCCACTGCTGTCTAAGTATCTGAAATGAGAATACCAATGGTGTGGGGGTCACATAAATAAAACCTATCTGAAGATAACAACCCATTTTGACACCTGCTGTGGAAGAAACAGAGAAATTCATATAGATTTTTGTGAAAAACTTACAGCTCCTGTAAGGTGGTTAATTTTCCAAGCTCCATTGGCAATGGTCCAGAAAACTGGTTTGAGCCAAAACTTCTGTCAAGCATAAAAAAGAAACATAACAAAACTATTACAAAGCAAAGCAAAAGAATGAACAAAAAGCACTTATTTGAAACACTGCAGAAATGGGCTTACAGGGAAAGCAACTTGGATAAGTTCCCAATCTCTGGGGGCACGGGACCTGTCAGATTGTTTATGCCCAAGCTGCTGCTCAATTTCCCAACATACAAAAAAGTCAAAGCAAAAGATTCAATCAACATAAGAAGAAAAAAGAAAATTTAAAACCTTTGAATTACTTTACAAATTCAAATTGAAAGAATTGTCTTGCAATTACAGGTATTGAAGTTTAGATAACTGTCCAATTTCAGCAGGGATGGGCCCACTTAGTACATTCTGACCAAGATTCCTGCATGCACCATGGTTCCAACATTTTTATTTTTCAATTTCAGGAAGACAACAACCAAAGCTCAAGGACTAATTTGAGATCCCTCACAAGTCTATCAGCTCCTTCAGCTCAAATAGCTCTCTGGGAATTTCACCAAGAATGTCCAAAGCATATATCTTCCTGCACACCAAGGTAAATCCAGACACATTTTTAATACCAAAACTTCATGCAAAGCTGAAAATTAATGTTGATGATGGTGATAAACTGACAGGTGGGTGATGTGGCAGGTGCTGCCCGCACAGTCACAAATGACACTTGGATTTGCAGTACTGGATGCCCATGTTACATTTGGAGTGCAGGGATCAATGGTAAGGCTCAGCTGATTTCCCAGGTCCCAGTGGTCTATGATCTTGTTGAGAGCAGAAACTGAGAAACAGAGGCAGCAAAAACAGTAAGCTCATTCAACCCAGAATTAATTCACAAATTGAAATCACATAAACAAAATTATGAACCCAATTGAAGCTTGACCAAAATAAAACCTTCATTCGGGTCAGTGGCTAATTGTGCAGAAACAAGCTGCAATGCAGAAAGAAGAAGAAGCAAAGAAAAAGACAAATTCAAAATACCCATTTCCAAAATTATAAATAAATAAAAACTTGAACTCGTGGGTTGATTTAATTTAACAGAGAAAGATTTGCACAAGGCCGGCTAGAAATCAAAGAGAATCGAATCTGTTGTGTGAATCCAAGTACAAAAACCCAAGTCAGCCATTGAGGTCTTTCTTTGTTTGACTTGCATGAACATGGTGACCACTGACCAAACAGAGCTACCCAATTGCATGCTTTTTTATTTTCTTCCGGCTTCGACGGTTCGCTTGGCGCCAAAAGTAAACTGCCAGTGTTGGGAGTGTTGGGAGTGTTGGTTAACTGTGTTGACAATAACCAGAGTACGACGACGTTTTGTCCTGTTTCTTTCTCTGTTCCTGCACACCATGTCATGGTGGCGGCATGGTTCAGATTTTCGTTGGGTTTAATTAACTTGGTCTTTTCTGATAATGATGTCTTTAATAAAATAAATTTAAAAGCAAAAACCCAATTCAGTGTTCATACAGAAATTGAAGTTATATAATAATTATATTTGCACGGATTTGAATTTGATTAAATTAAATCAATGGTGGCTTGTTTATTTGAGGAAATCTCCATGGGAGAGGGAGAGCTTATGCATTGCAGCTTGTGTTGGCTTTGACTGGGTGACTGGGTGACTGGCCTGGGCTTTTTAATCAGTTGCCCCAATATTGGGCTTCTAATTTTATAGTTGCCCAAAGAAATTCCAAAACTTTTCAATTTCAACACAATTTTTTTAATTTTTTAATTTTTTTTAATGGTACATATTATGCAAATTTGAAATTGTAATACAACTAGTCAAGTATGGCAGAATCCTGCATGTAGTCTTTGAATTCGATTTTCAAATAAGAAATCAAATGCAAAGTACAAAACATCAAAAAACTTTGAGAATCAATTCAGTTATGAAATAAATTTGAAATTAGGCTCACGAATTGATATTACCATTCCTTAACAATATATTTTCCTCGAAACAAAATGAAATCCCATGGACTAAATTTAATCAAATCATATTAGCGACCAAAAGTGTAGGTAACTGTTTAAATTCATCACTAAATAATATCTATTTGGCAAGAAACTTGTAATTCAAGTGGTTATAAGAACATTTACCTTTACATTCTAGGTTGTGGATTCGATCCCCCCCACCCTCAATATGACTTGTATAAATAATAATAATAATAATACGTACTTGTCCACCGCAAAATGTCGATTATATCCTTATTTCATCAAACAATTTTAAAAGTAAGGTTATAAACTAATAAGGTTGTTATACTAGCCAACCAGGTGTATCTTAGTGAAAAATGGTCTTGATTTGCATGTCAGTTGTCTTAGGTTCGAACCTCTATGACACATTTATATTGTGTGTGTGTGAGTGAGAAACTCTCATCCTCTTCATAATTTAGATTATCGCTTGTATTTAAAAAAAAAGTTGTTATACTATCGTTTTCATTCTTCTTTGAAGCCGAAAAATGATTGAAGAAATAAGAAAAGATCGATGAACGATTAAGCACCCTAGAGAAGTGAATCGAAAGGCTTCCTTTCCGTTCTTGGTTTGGGGGCTTGAGTCTCATCGTGTCCAGGCGGCTAAGCTTTATCAATTTCCAACTTTTAAGACTTTGAATTATCTTTCGGTAATTGACATCACGTGTGTAATAGAAGCCAATTGTCATTAACGAATATATTCAAAATGAAATTAGGGCAAACAAAGAAACAAATGTGTGCTGCATTCCACTTTTATTACCCCTTTTCTATTATAAAGTTACAAACTTTGATAATTTGGTCGCAAATATTACCTATTCAAGCGAATCTCCTTTTTCATTCTCAATATACATATGCATTCCTTTCCCACTAGGCAAAGTATGAACAAATAGTACTACTAATTATGCTTGACTTAGCAGCAACCCTATCAGCAGAAGCAGCTAGCTCATCAACATCCATTCCTCAGTATCTGCAGGCGCTGCACGGACTTGATGAAGGTTCTGCAACATCAATATTACTCATAATTAATGTTTTAATATCTTTAATATATATATATATATATATATAATTTGTGTACCAAACCGACGAAACATACAAAGGGAATATTATATGGGAAGACAAAAAAGCTTAAAAGCAAAAGTTTTTTAGTACTTACTGCCAGGGAACATCGGCAACGAGCAGCCAAGCTCCTTGTTTGTCCTGATAAGCAAGTATATATTCTGCACCTGCGCCACCCTCTTTGCCACCTGATCTTTTGCCTGTGTGTTTAATTGAAGCGTTATGTACTTAATTAATAATAATAAAATGAAGCAATCAATCACTTAATTAGTACTTACATTTGGAAAACATGGTTATCAAGGTGTCTTTGAGCGTCTGATAAGAGTGATGAGGCCTTATATCGATCTTCCTCACAATTCCCACCCCTTCCATCTTCACCTTTACCAACATGGACATGGAATTAGCTACCAATAACTGATTCTGGTGATGAGGGTACTGATGATGATGATGATCATGGCCGACGGAGTGGTGTTGATGAAGCATCTTTTTCCTCCATGATTTTATTGGTGGCCACCCAACTACATGGTTTCCTTCTCCTTCATTTCTGAGTTACACATTTGATAAACACATACCCTTGATTAATAATTAACTAGTGCATGAAATACAAATAAAACTACTATAAGGAAAGCTTACTTTAATTACACTATATAATTAATTCGTATCTCTTCTCAAAATTATGTCGACATACACTTCAACTACACGTTCAAACTCGTAATCAATGGCTTATGAGTAATGGTACTTACTTGGTAATGACACTGACAGAGTCTCTTCTCTTTTGCCCTTTCTCATCATCTTCCTCATTTGGCTGGCCACTCCACAATAACAAGGGCAACATTTTAGACTCATTTCCGGCACTCTCATCAAAAGCCACATCAAAACTGCGCTTGTTTCGAACTTGTTTTTTTATGCTTTCCAAACCCACCAATATCTCTTTCTTCTCAACCCCATCCCCACGGTTGCTCATGTCAAACCCTTTAACAGGATTGTGAACTGGAAGAGCCAGAGAAAGACCCAATTGGAGCTCCATAACATACAACTAATCAACAAGAACACCGACAAAGAATAATATGGAGAGGCAGAGAAAATTAGCAAACAAAGCAGGAAAGTTTGGCTGGTGATGAGATTATACTTGAAATGGTTATTTATATACAATTCTGAGAGAGAGAGAGAGAGAGAGAGAGAGAGAGAGAGAGAGAGAGAGAGAGGTGATGGAGATGGAGAAGAACCATTGTCTTGGAGAAAAGAAGAAGTTAGGGACAGCATGGAAGTTGGGTCGGGTAAAAGTTGAGCAGCGATGCAGACAGGTGAGCAAAGAGTGCACCAACGTGCCACAACCGCAAAGACTCAAGTACCCACACTATCACTCACTCCTATTCAACCTGCCACATGTCTCTCTCTCTCTCTCTCTCTCTCTCTCCCCTATTCAACCTGCCACATTAGTCCTAGTCTCTCTCTCTGTGGCTTGACTAATCTAAACTATATTTTTTTCTTTGCTAATATATAATATATCTGTCCACGGGATCCAGCTCATCAAAAAAGTCTTGACTTGTAGATTATTGGTCTCAGATTTAAAACTCTATGACATCTTGATAATTTGTCTGTGAGAAACTCTACTCTCCTTTGTAGTTTAGACTATATTTTACTTTTTTTTTAAACATATATAATATCTGGAGTATTATTTTTCGGTAAATATTGAAATTATTTTGCGTTCTAATTCTTTATGTATATTTTTACAATTTGTAATTCAATACCTGCAAAATAAGAAGGTGAAATGGAACAAGATTTTAATAAATTAAACAATATTTGCAAACAATCATAGTCATGTTCTGCTCAACTAACTTGGCCACTTACAACTCTTGATGAGTCTAATATAATAGTTAATTAATCAAAAACTAAACATGTTGAATAATCAATATGCATACATGTCGGGAAAAAGCCGTCAAACACATGATGATGCATGCATAAACTGTTTAAGTCCATCGTTCAAACTTCCATAATAATGGGACTCAAAAGTCTGAAACATTCCCCTTGACCTTGTTCATCATCCAAATCATTTTGATCCATCCTCAAAACCTCTTCATCCCCAAATTAAAATAGTAACGATTCTCTTTGTCGGAGTTTACATATAAAACCCAATAAATATATATTATATGACCAATAATGTTGGACAAAACAACCAACAACATATGGATACGTTTGGTATGTGTTGGCTTCAAAATCCAAGTACAACTAAACTAAGTGGTCTCTATGTGTTGCTTCTGCAGAGGGCATACGTATATATATGCATAAAGGCCCACGTGATGTTCACGTGACAATGGGCGTGGGGCAGGACCTATATGTTTGTGAGTGCATGCAGGTGCAGACCAGCATGGGCCGTGTGGTTCGACCCACACGTTCCAAGCCAACTTAAATGAACGGTCTTGTCAACCTTGTCTGAATGGCGCTCGTGTGTTTTAGCTGGCATTTTGTTTTTCCAACACATCATGGATCAGTGGCTTTGCCATGCAAATTCGACCGACTCTCTCAAATATTGTCATTTAATTTGAGCAAGACTTGAATACTGCATGAAAGAAAAAAGGAAAAGAAGCAAGTTGAATTGATTAAAGTTGGGAGGTTCATGATGGAGAAGGATTATGGGTAATGCTCCACTAATCTGAGGTTCCCAAATGAGATTAAAGTTTGGATTAGTTTAATAATGTTATTTTGTCTTTGGTGTCCCCGAAATTCGAGAGAAACTTCCCTGCAACATGTTGTATGCATTTTTCTCTTTATGTCTCTCTTTACGTGATTAATACATGTACGACAAAGTTGCATGCATTCTCAAATTTAGTACAAGACTTTAATTTGTGTTGAAGATAAATTTCTCTACTTATGTAGTTAGAATAAATTTTTACGTGTAAAATAAATGGTTGGACTAGCCTAACCTCTACTTTAATTGGCCAAACCTATTCTTTAATCCTTGCCTAACAAACAGGACCAATATATACCTCATATAGGAGAAGCCATAGCAAATGCCATCAAGTTAATTTAATTCGTCTTTAGGCGAAAAAGCTTAATCAAAATTTGACCTAGTTTTAGACATGCCTAGAGTCGGGGCCAAGCTCGGAAGCTCCATCAAAACAAGGGACCAAAATTTATGGTCTAGAGTCTAGATATCCAAATATTCACGAACCTTTGAGTATGAAAAATCAGTTTGGGTTACTTGACCTAATCAACTCAACCACTGCTGATCAACCCTCTCTCGCATGTTATGTGCAAAGTCTGTCTGGCCATTTTCATGTGTCAACCCTTAGGAAAATCTAAAGGACCCACATGCCTTATATGCTTTGAACTTTGAAGGTACGTAAGTGTTAGTGGGAAGCATTTTAATTTAAAGATCAAAAGTAGAGTTCAGTGTTCATGTTCTTATCTCTTTAGAGAGGTCCCCTCGTAGGGGGAGGGACCAAAGTATCCGAAAACAACTTCTTCTCCCAATTAAAGGGACACCCAAGGCGCTTCGATCCTTGGCTTTTGGGATAAGAGAATATGATGACCTAAATTGATAGAGACCCATAACTCTCTATAATCTATTCAAAGTAGACTTTTTGTATGTTAATGTCTTGTTCATGACCTGCAATCTAACTTAAATTACTAATGAAAGATCTATGTGCGATGAGGACATTACGATCATCACCACCTTACTTGGTTTCCTGGAAGGTTCGTGTAAATATACATAGCAAACAAGCCAACCAAAGCTTGTCGAGTTGGATCAAAATGTAGAATACAATTCAAAAGGTTACACTAGTGTTATATACATTGTACGTTGTGTTGACCGAAAGCAACGTGTTGTTACAAAACTTATGTTGTTAGACTACGAATTTGATAAGGTGATAATGTTCATTTTTAAAACTAATAAAATTATCTATGTATGAGAACCCGACTCGTTGAATTCATGGAACAATTGGTTCGAGTTTTGTTTGATTCTTTCTGTTTAGGTCGAAGTCCAAGGTTAATTATTATTAGTTTTGTAGTGTGAACTTGTATTTCATAATTAGATTCGTTTGCTAATTATTAGGGTTTAATCTAATCTTGCAAACAGCCGCAAAAAGGTCATTTCAGTGAGGGGGGGTTGGGGCACCAAGAAAAATACTTTTAACCATCTTGTTTTGTTTTACACATCAAATGGGTTTAAAGAAGTAAATTGCGTATACAATCTGAGTCATCTTTACACGTTTAACATTTCAATATGTGTGTGAAAATGATTTATACTTATCTTTCTTTGAAGTTTTGTGTTCAACTATCATGATTAAAGCTTTGAACTCAGCCCAAGAAAATGCCAACCCTTCATCATTGTTCATACTTCAATGGGGACCAGAGGAGAGGTAAAACTCAGAAGGACAGAGGGAAAACCCCAGTGACAAAGAAATTCATCAATGCCAAAAGAAGCAACTGCAAGTGGAAGGAAGATGGGCCCCAAAACAATAACAAAGGACAAAAAGGGGCCTCCCCTTCATGTCAATGTCTTTGCAAATTAGTAACGACCATGCTGATTTCTAGTTTGTTAATCTGAATTAACAGTGAGTTTCATTTGTTGAATGAATGAATGGAGTTGATGATAGGGTCATTCTGGTGTATCAGACGGAAAATATATTTTTCTTCTTCTTGTTATGAAAATAAGGCAAAAAGTTATTTTTTGTTCATGTAGTTTATTATTTTTACCACTAAAATTCCTGCAATTTCGATTTGATCATTTTTGTCCATGTAGTTTGAATTCCGTGCAATTCAAAGACAACTCCCAATTTTTTCTCAAATTATGCTCTAATATGGGGGGGCATTTCACTCCAACTTACAGCCCCTCCATAACCACCCAGCAACCCCTCCAACTACCTAACAACCACCTTCTCCCATCCCTCCCCCTCCTGATCTCAACCTCCTCCTTCTCCTAACTCAACCCGCTTGCCACCCCCATAGCTACCTTATCAAACTCCAAATCTAATTCTGTGCATTGCCCAAAACCTCTCCTCATGAACCTAAGGTAAAAGACTTTGAGGTTTAGAAGCATAAGAAAAGCTACAGTATGGGCTATTGAGGGAGTGGTGGTTTTTTTTAGGGGGGGGAATGGAAAGTTGGATTAAAATGCATCTTCATATTAGAGTAATTTGACAAAAGAAAATTTAGGATTGTTCTTAAACTGCTTGGAATTTAGGGACAAAATTGATCAGATTGAAATTACAGGGACCTTAGTTGTAAAAGTGGTAAACTAGAAGGAATGAATTTTTGCGTAAAAATAATGATATGATTGTATAAGAATTGCTCGTATTAGTGAGCATAGATAACAAGTTTTAATGGGTTGTTCAAAGAAATGTGGATTCACAACAATTTTTTTATTGACTATTAAGTGCGTGAGAGTTTATAGTTTCAGTTGTAATGAGCATTTATTCCCACACTTGAAGTGAGATTTCGAATCTCTCTTCTCATTTAACTTCATTCTTGTTATATATATATTTTTTTTTATACATAATTGTACTTTTATATTTTTTATAACTCGAGAGATATTAACGATTAGAGGAATCAAACATAAAACATCGGTTGTATATACAAAACCCATGTGAGTAGATATAGCAATATTATATGACATGAATTCACACGAAAAATTATGGTCTTTGACAACCTGTGAACATAATAGGTCATTTGGTACCAACCTGTTAGCTTAACATGTTGTTTCATATCAACCCATTAGCTTAACATGCCATGTCAAATTAGATTGGAGAACAAAAAAAAGGACCGATTTTCCAAGTGTACAACTTGTAAGCTATGACATTGTTTGAAAGTGCTTTTAGAAAACACTTTAGACTATAAAAAATTATAAGTGTTTGACATAAATTTTTTTATCAAACACACTTAGAAAAATATTGCAAGAAAAAAGAAAAACTTACATATATCGTCTCATGGGCACGAGCAATCCTAAGCCTAGGGCAAGGTAGGCCATTGCCTACCCTAAATTTTTCAAAAAGAAAAAAATACCCATATGTAATGGTCCAGCCAATGTGAAGCATAAGAACCTATGCCAACCCAAGAAGCAACCCACATGTATGCATAACCCAAAATTTCTCCTCTCTTTAATTATCTTCTCCTATTGGGTTTCTATTAAAATACATGTATGCATCTTTAATTTTAAGATGTTGTATATGACAACATTGAATCTAATATATTTTAAATAGGTCAGAAGTTATGCGTTATAGTTTAATTAAGAATGAATTATAATTTGAGGATTTTGTTGAAATTAATTAGGTCTTTGATTTTAGGAATTTTGTTGAGATGTTTTGTTGTTGGTATGTTAATGTTTGATTAAAGGCATTGATGCTATTATGAGAATTTATTTGATTTTTGTTGGGATGTTTGATTAAATAGGTTATCTTTTATTATGTAAGATCACAATTTGAACCCCAAGAAAATAAGGAATTTGTTGTCTTTTTTTTTAAAAAAAAAAGAAAAAAAGAAAAAAATATATATTTTTGTGCGGTTAATTACTCAAATGGTCCTCAAACTTATATCGGATTTATATTTTGGTCTCTCAATTAAATTATTCGTTCAAATTGTCTATCAACTCTATATTATTCAGTCAATTGGTCATACTGTTACATTATGTCAATATTACCGTCAAATGTAAGGTTAAAACCATCTATAACCATCATATGTTCCCCAAATAGGTGATAAAGTGGTGATACATAGGTGATACAATGGTGATAAAGGGGTGATAGAAATTGTTGTTTGTGTTTACTTTTGGTTTCTTGTTTTGTTTCATTTCTTCTACTTTTCTTTACTCATTTCTAGTATCCTAATTGTATTTTGCCTTTGTGTTGTGTTAAATAAGAGTTCTTTACATTCTCAAACTAGAACTTTGTATAAGCCTCCAATTCCTCATTGGAATAATTATGTATTTACAAATCTATACTCCAATAGATTCGTACACTTGCGGGTATTTTTAATAGGATGATTAACACATTAATTTGTGCATGCCAATTATTAATACAACATCAAGCAATGCATTATAATCCAGTACCAATGAATCCTCCAATTGAGACAAAAACCTATTTGGTCTTTAACATAAGACTATTTGAATACCAGCCAATCTATCTAGAATAAGAGCTTTCTTTCGTTTCAAGTGGCCAAAAATATTTTGGTTCCACTGTTTTAGAGGAGCAATTAACCCATAGGACTTATCAAGAGCAGAATCAGGAGTCTGCCCTCATTTTGGAGTCACAAAATCTTTGAAACTTTCGTGCTGCATCCACATCATTCAAATCTAAAGGGTCTGACATTTGCAGAGGAGATCATGTGGGACTGCATGGAGATTTTAATAGGACAATAGTAAAATATAATTATGATACTAGAAATGAGTAAAGAAAAATAGAAGAAATGAAACAAAACAAGAAATCAAAGGTAAACACAAACAACAATTTCTATCACCTCTTTATCACTACAGTATCACCACTGTATCATCATTGTATCACTATTTTCTCACATATTTATCACCACTTTATCACCTATTTTGGGAATATAGGATGGTTATGGACGGTTTTACTCTTACATTTAACGGCAACATTGACAGAATGTAACAGTAAGACCAATGAATCGAATAATATAGAGTTGATGGACCATTTGAACAAATAATTTAATTGAGGAACCAAAATGTTTATCGCAAGAAAGAAACAGTGAGACCATGGAATATTCTCTTTTTTATTTTCTATTTTATTTTCCCCGCAAGAAACTTCCACGAATTGAATGTAGTGGTGGAGTGGAGGAACGCGCCATTGCCTGCCGGGTCAACTTCATCAAATTAGCAAAACAGCCAAAAATATCCATTGACGACGACGCCCAAAAGCCCAAAAAAAAAAAAAAAAAAAAAAAAAAAAAAAAAAAAAAAAAATCACGAGTCTGAGACACGCCGAGTTGACCCGTAGAATACCCGACTCACCTGCCCCAACCGCAACCGGATCCAAATATCACTGGATCCGAGCCCAATTTACGCGACTTTGGTTTGACTGTGTCATAATCGGACCTGGCCATTTCGACCCGCCCCAAATGAGCTTCGTCTCACATTTGAATTGAATTCATCGTTCCTCTTCCCTAACGTTGAACTCTCTCTGATCACAACCAGAGACTCAGAGAGAGAGAGAGAGAGAGAGAGAGAGAGAGAGATTAGAGATGTCTCTGAAGGCGTCGAGTTCGGGCAAGAATTTGATACTTCCAGTATCGGATTCTCCAAAAGACCTGGAGAGAGAGAGACTCGTCGGAGACGATAACGATGAGAAGCTTTTCAGAGGATCCGCCATGACCAGACGTGGAGCCTACGCTGCAATCTCTTACATGGCCTGCGCAGGTAAATTACGGAGCCTGCAATTTGATACGCTTTTTGTTCCTATAAAAATTCAAGTTTTAAGAGATGAAAATCAGATTTCAAGAAGTTCGAAGAAAATTGGGAGCTGTTGTATGCCATAATTTACTGGGTTCAGAATACGATTGGGCGAAGTCTGTGCTTGATTTCGTTTTGTTATGAATTTGGATTTTTCGAATTTCTACTTGGGATTGGCTTAGTTTTTCAAAATTTGAATTTTTGTTGAGTTAAGTTATTTGTTCCCATTTTGTTGTGCAGTGTTATTGGTGATGTTCAACAAAGCAGCTCTCTCTTCTTATAAATTTCCGAGTGCAAATGTTATCACACTCTTTCAGGTACCATCCCAATTGAATCCTACAGTAGTCTTTCATGTTTTGAGAATTAAGTTAACTAGTGAAATTTTAAGCGAAATCATCCTTTCAAAAAGTTAGCCGGGCCAAACAGCCTTGAGCAGGCACAGAAAGCATTGAAATTTCTGATTACGTGAGCTAAACTTGACCTTCTGGTTGCTACTGCAGATGATATGTTCATGTGGTTTTCTCTATGCCTTGAGACGCTGGAAGATGATTTCTTTCACCGTAGCTGAATCTTTGACCATTTCTGATGACAATATCACAACACTTGTACCGTTAAAGACATTGAAGAAAACCCTTCCTCTTGCCGGAGCCTATTTGCTGTACATGGTATGCATTGTGTAATCTAATGTCGAGCATGCTCCTTTTTTTATATATATTTTTATATTTTTTATAATAACTTTTTTGTGAAAGGAAACATAATGATGCAGTGATTCCTCCTAGTTAGATTGTTTTGGTCGGTAACTATTATTCAATAGTTTTCTTAGTTGTATTTGTGATTAATGTTTGCCCATTCATTTATTTCTCCTTGAAAGCTAGCCTCCATGGAGTCTGTCCGTGGAGTAAATGTTCCCATGTACACCACCCTCAGGAGGACTACTGTGGTATTTACAATGGTTATGGAGTATATTTTGGCTGGGCAAAGATATACATCTCCTATTGTTCGAAGGTAAATGGCCCTTTTGTTTATAATTTATTCTTCATATGCTGATTTTAATCAAGAGGACAATCGTTTCTATTATAAAAAATAAAAAAAATGCTGATGTTAATAATGTACAGATCATCTGCTCTTCTAGATAGACAAAAATAATTGGATGGTTTCTTTTTTATTGGATGAAAGTGGTGAAAGCTGACCTGTCGGTGCTTTTCTTTATGGTCATGAATTGGTCCAGTGAGAAAGTTTTACATTATGCCATGAATGAATGAATGTAATGAAAAATGCTTCTACATTATGTGTTTTACTTTATTGACCATCTACCTGATTTTCTCATTTAACTGAAAATTTTAAGGTTGTTATTAGTGTTGGACTGATCGTTCTTGGTGCATTCATTGCTGGAGCTCGGGATTTGTCATTTGATGCCTATGGCTATGCTGTTGTTTTCTTATCTAACATCACAACAGCAGTATATCTTGCAACCATAGCCCGTATTGGTAGTACTTTAACAATTTATCCTTTTGGGAAATCTTTCACTACATTTCTCCTTATTAGCTTGACAGGTTTCTAAGATATTGACTGTTACTTTCTTTTTCTCAGGGAAATCCAGTGGCCTTAATAGCTTTGGCCTAATGTGGTGTAACGGTCAGATCTAACATCCTGACTCAATTTTTTTCCTTTGGATTTTTCTAATTATTATTTTTTGGTTTTGTGCATAATTAGGAGTTTTCATTAATTAAATTCCAACTGTGACATAAAATGGTACTGTTTTCTCTATGATAGGAGTCATATGTGGGCCGGCTTTGCTGTTTTTGACTTTTATTCGTGGTGACTTGAAGACGACAATCGATTTTCCTTATCTGTTTTCACCTGGTTTTATGGTACTTTCTTTACCAACAGCACTCTTCTCTGCTAATAAATATAAACTTAACGCTTTGAAAGTTGTCTTGCTACTCCTGAAATGTGCCTTATCTGCATTTTCTGCATGGCATTGTGGTTTTGCTCGCTTATAAGCTATGCATGCTTATTTTAAATATGCTATCTTCTGGTACACTTTATGCCCCACTGATTGCATTTTTATTGAAAGGTTTAGTTTACTGGTATTTGACAATTTTTTTTATTATGTAATTTGCTGTTAACGTCATTTTACTTGCAGTTTGGTTCATGGGTTCCCTGTGTATGGTATTATTCCAGTGCGATATTTAATTGCAGTTCGCTATTTAATTGAACTTAAGATAAATCTGTCATGTTTCATGTAGAGCTTCATTGATTTCTTTGGCCTCCAGCTGTCTATGTGGGCAGCATGGATTAGTGTTATATATTATGCCTGAAATTGGTGGAAGTGGGGCGTTTGGACCCTTGAATTATTTTTTCATGTTCAGTAGTTTTAAGTTTTGAAACCATACAGAATGAGTTTCAATGCTATTTGTAAGTAGCATTTTACATCGTCATTTGCGGTTGTTGGCATCTTATGGATTGATGTTCATTCAACTGACATCAATCGCCCAAGTATACCATGCCTATTTTGCTTCTTCTTACAGTACTTAAATAAAACTTCCGAGTAATTCGTAGGGTTTTATTGAGACACATTGTTTTTTCCTTTTTTTCTTTCTTCCTCCTTTTGGCAGGCTGTCTTGCTTTGTTCCTGTATACTGGCATTCTTTTTGAATTACAGCATATTCCTGAACACAACTCTAAATTCAGCGCTCACACAGACAATTTGCGGCAACTTGAAGGTTTGTTTTGGCTAAATTTATTTCTCAGATGTATTACAACATAATTTAGCAGCCTATGTATTATGTTTTCTTATCTTTATTCAAGCTCTTATATGTTTTAGTGACTTAAACTGGTATAGGATTTTTTCACCATTGGACTTGGCTGGATGCTATTCGGTGGCCTTCCATTTGATATTGTAAGTTCAAGCTCTTCTTCATTCTTAGAAAAAAAAAGAACTTGTTTCTCTTTCTATTTAGAAATTGATGTCTGTTTTTTGTTTGTTCTGCTAGTTGAATGTTATTGGGCAATTTCTGGGTTTCCTTGGTTCTGGATTGTATGCCTACTATAAGCTCATAGGGAAGTAACATTTTCAACAAATTGCTGGTTTTCTCCGCCGAAGATGATTAGTTGCTGCTGCCCTTGTTTCGGCCACCAATTTTGATTTTTTGATTATGGGGCTACTAGAAGTGAGATGTGATACTGTTAATACAGAAGATTTCCGCGCAGCGGATTTAACTCTTAACTGGAAACGAGGCCTGCTACTTTTGCCCTGTAATTATTCTTCTATATGGATAGGTGTTAGAAACAATGGTGGCAATTTGGCATTGGGAGCTGCTTGCTCATCTAATACATATTTTTTTTAAAGCTTGACATTGTGAGCCTTTCTTATTCCAAGGTTTTCAGTCACACATGCTCACTTTCTTTTTATTTATTTTTAATACAAATGATATTGGGGGATGAGGATTCTTGCCTTTAGGGCTTTTAACAAAAGGAGTTTTTTTCTTTCTTTCTTTGGGGTGTGTTTTGTTGAAGCAAAAGTGGTTATAAGAGCAAACGCTTGATCATATAGGTATTGGTTGTCATAGAGGTATTGGCTGTTACTCGTTATTGGGGTTAAATGTCTAATCACCTATCAATTGTTAAATGTCCAATGAAATAACAGTTAGGTTCTTGGGTTTTTTAACTTGAAAATAGTGTTTTTCAAGCTATGAAAGCAAATTTTGAGGGACTTATTTGTCAATAGCTCTATTTAATTTAATTATTTTTGGACAAAACAAATATTCGTAGAGAGATTCAAAATCGGATGCAAGGGGGACGAGCCCTATTATTCTTCTTCCCAACTCATCCTTTTGAAATGGTTATTGCACATACAATATATAATATATTGAATAAAATGGTTCAAAAAAGAAAAAGAAAAAGAAAAAGAAAAATGAAACATATGTGAAAGGGAATCAAGTATTTGTTTTATAAAATGTAAAGTAATTAGTTTATTAATATCATAGTGTGTTAATTAAAGGTTGTCTTATAAAATCATTACTAAAAAAGAAAAGAAAAAATTGTTCTATAAAATCAGAGGACAGAAGATGGCGCCTAAAGACGGCAGGTCAGTTACTGCCGCAAAAGAGTTAAAAAGTCAACTGTCATTCCATTAATTTCTTTTATTTTTTATTTTATTTTATTTTATTTTTATTTTTGTCTGAACAACTGGCAATCTTCTCAAGCCTCACAAAACCAATATACCAAAACGTAGAAAAGGGGAAAAAAGAGGGAAAACTTCTCCCCTCTCTTTCCTTCTCTCGCTTTTCTCTGTTCTCTTTTTTCTCTTTCTTCTTTTTCCTTCTGGAATTGTCTCCGACAGAAGCTCCAAAACTGCTGCCAGAAAGCCCAAACCCTAGAAAATCCCAAGCCCCAAGCGTCTTTACAATGCGTGTTCTGCTTCCATAGGAATCTCTCTCTCCCTCCCTCTCTCTCTCTCTCTCTGTGTCTCTTTTTTTCTGGTTTTTTTTATTGTTAATCTGTAGCTCCATTTTTGGTATAAGGGCATGGGTTGAGAGAGAGGGCCAGGGAGAAATTCTCACAGCTATGTCTTATAGCACGCTGAGAATTGACGACGACGATTTTGTCCCTGTTAGGCCTTCCTCCGTCGAACGCCCTCGCCGCTCTAATTCCTTGCCCTTTGTCCCGTTGCTGCTCATCGATGGCTTCTCTCGCAAGAGCTTCTCATATTCTGCCCTTCCCCAGGAGCCTCTCAGACTCTCCGTTCTCAAATTGGACGGCTCTTGTTTCGGTACTCTCTCTCTCTCTCTCTCTCTCTCTCTCTCTGACTTTCTGTGGTTGTTCATTGGTGCTGTTGTTTGGCTGCCGAGAAAATGTTGGAAAATGAACTGAATTTTTCGCCTTTTTTTTAGTTACATTTGGGTTTCAATCCTAGGAAAGGCTTAGGAATTCTATCTGTCTCTGTAATTCTCTTTCTAGATGGTTAATCTCATTGCTGCTTGTTTGTTTGCCGAGAAAATTGTGGGAATGTAGGCAGTCAACTTATGTCAATTGTGGGTTCTTTTGGTCTGAAAACACAATTTTACGCGTAATAAGCTTTCAGGGTCAAGGTCGGATTTGATTTCTTTTTTTCCTTATTCATATTGGGAAAATTTCTTATACAGAGATTTCAGTATTTTACATTATGAAATATACACGGTTTTTCCAATCTTCGTAGGATTTGATTGTTCTTCTTTCTTTTTCCTTATCATATTCTCAGAAACTAAACAGGGGTTAAGGGTAATGTATTGTGCAGTTTGCTGTCTTGATAGTTCTCCAATTCAATCCTTAATACAGCTGACTCTCTCTCTCTCTCTCTCGCTTTTTTTATTTATTTATAAAAAGTTCTTGTCGTGGTTTCTGTTTTTTGGCTGGTGTTTTTCAATCTTTTTCTAAGGACTTGCATGAACTAAGATTTTCACTTTCACAGATATCGAAGTTGCCAAGACAGCCACTGTTTTAGAACTGAAGCAGGCGGTTGAGGCGGTTTTTAGTCACATGCCGCAGAAGGGACCAGGAAAAATTTCATGGTATTTTCACATCCTTAATTGAAGTATTTTGGATTAAAACAAAAAATGATTTAATCACAGAAATTTGTCTTTGCTTAGTATTCAGTTGTGAAGTTTTGAAAATCTATTATAAGGTTGCTCATTTTCCATGGAAACTTGCATTTTTTTATACTCTTGAGTTGAGAAGTTCATTGTACAATTGGATTCTTATCATGTATAATTAACACTTAGTGATGTTCCTTGTTTAAATATGGTTTACTTAGGCCACACGTGTGGGGGCATTTCTGCTTGTGCTATGGTGGTCAGAAGCTAGTTGTTGAAACTGATCATATCAGACATTATGGCATCAAAGATGGTGATCAGGTATGTGGCAGATCCCTTCAGTTTTTAAAATATCTTTTGTCCCCTTGGTTAATGTCACGCTGATGGTCTGCATAAAGCTTCACCCAGTGATTTTGCTGAGCCTTTGGTGTGTGCTACAGTTGGTTTTGTTTGATCTTCCTGAGGCACATTCATTGTTGTTGAATTGCAGAATTATCATCATTAAGAAGTTGTATTTCCTTCTATTCGGTTCATATGCGTGTTTAGAATATAGTTGCATTTTTGTTCTTCCCTCTTCTATTTTTTTTTAATAAGGGGAAGGGAAGTAAGAATCGAGCCCTTGTCACACACAATTGTATATTTCATCTTCATTTGGCCTACGCCTCCTATGTCATTGGAATTTTCTTCATTTATGCCAACCGGTCTTGTTTGGTACATGCAGCTTCATTTTGTCCGGCATGTTTCAATCAGCTACACCCTGACAAAGAAGCAATCAAAGAAAGGGCTCATTGGTTCGAAACAAAACACGACGTGAGGCTTTTTCTATTGGCATTTCTCTTCTATAAGAATTTTAAGCACAAAAACATGGAACCACCTACACAGATAAGGACCATTGTTGCCTGGCCAGCCATGTTGTGTATTGAGTTCATATGTTCGATAATGTGCAGGTCAATACCACGATCAATTAGTCTTGAAGAGATAGATGCGATTGACAAAGAGGAAGAGCAGAGTGACAGAGACATCGAACAGCATGACGAGGTATTTTATGATTCTGATGACATCGAGAATCCAAAGTCCACGCATTGTAATGGTGAAGTTTCTATCGAACACAATGAGAGCACACTGCCTAGCTTGTTGGGAGAGTGGTTTCCATACTCCAGGCTGTCACCTGTAGGAACCACATCTAAAAGAAGTTTAGCGTGTGCCCCAAGCATTGCCACTGGGTTGCTGGTTGGGTTTAGGAAGATGTTTGGGCTTTGTTTTGAAAAACGCGATAAACGCTATAGTCGAAGGGATACTTGGAGAATAGATTAGTGCTGAGGAAATAATATGCATTTGTTCCTGCTGCCCAGAATTTGGTTAGAATATCATAAAATTATACTTGGCCTACCTACACGAGACAAGTCATTTGCCACTTTAAAGTCTGATGTTCTACTCCCCACATTCACAGCACCTCAAAAAAGAAAAAGAAAAAAAAAACTAGTACCTCTAAAGATTTTGGAATTCATCAAGTACATGCAACTGATTCTTCTTCATGAGAGAGGGTTTTGTCTTTTTGAAGCTTTCATTGTAATTATTTGATGAGAGTTCTGTGTTTTAAGCCAGCCACTATTTGGGTCAGGACAATTCCAAGAATTGAATTTTGGGCCAATTGTGTTTCATGGGTCAAATTCTTTTTGACCCATGAATTGGATCCAACAATCATAGAGGCTCCTGTGGGTCAAGTCACAATCCAACTCTTCCATCCATCAGAACCTCATATCAAAATGTGTGGCAAAGAATGAGATAGCCCTCTCTGCGAAGATTTACACTCTCAGCCCCCAAAATCCCACAAACTCTGAATATCCCAGCTCCAGAGAACAAACAGAAACCAGAAAGAAAGCAGCAGAGTCGCCATGGCCAACATGATCATGGCCTCCTCCAAAGTACCCATTTCTTCCCCTTCCCCGTCTCCCATTTCGAAGCCCAGAATCCCAATCCAAATCTCCATCCCCAAAATCCCAACCCTCCCAAAACTCTCCAAGTCCCAAATTATCTCCCTCTCGTCGTCCCTCTCCGTTATCGCAGCCACCTCCCTCTCCTGGGCCCCGCCCTCATTGGCGGAGGAGATAGAGAAGGCAGCCCTCTTCGATTTCGACCTCACCCTCCCCATTCAAATGGTGCAGTTCCTGCTCCTCATGGTGGCCTTGGACAAGCTCTACTACAGCCCGCTCGGGAAATTCATGGACGAGAGAGACGCGGCGATCAGAGAGAAGCTGGGCAGCGTGAAGGACACTTCGGAGGAGGTGAAGCAGCTTGAGCAGCAAGGCATCGCCATCATGAGAGCTGCGAGGGCTGAGATATCGGCGGCGCTGACCAAGATGAAGAAGGAGACGCAGGGGGAGGTGGAGCAGAAATTGTCGGAGGGGAGGAAGAAGGTGGAGGCTGAGTTGCAGGAGGCTTTGACCAAGTTGGAGGAGCAGAAGGAGGAGACCATTAAGGCCCTTGACTCTCAGATTGCCAATCTCAGTGACCAGATTGTCAAGAAGGTCCTTCCTCTCTGAGCGAGTGACTTGTTCTGTTTCTCTCTTTTTTTATTTTTCTTTTCGGGGTAATTTGGGAATGGAAATTGGATGACGTGTCTATGATTATAATGTAATATTTGTAATGGTAAATGAATGAATTACTGTGTTTTCTTATTGTTTGGACTTGGTTTTGACAAGGGAGCCACTCGTTGTACTTGTAATTATAATAATGTTTTTGTTAATCTAATCTGGGTTTCTGTTCTGCTATATGATTTTGGAGAAGTGTAATTTGTATAATTGGAGAGCAAAAAAGAAATCATGGGATTTGTAGCAATGGGAAAGAAGAGTAGGGTGAGGAAAATAGGTTGAGATTTAAGCATACATTGGGTTATACCAGTTGATCAAGTCAGTCTCATGTTCATTAATTAGAGTACTTTAAACTATCACTTATGTTTTAAAAATATGTTGAGACTGCAAAGCCATAACAGATTACCAATACATTTTGTGTATGTGTATTGACATGTTCATCGCCACACGCATGGGGACCAATGGCAGGAGCGATGGGTTTCTTCTGCCCGTGGTTTCGAACAACCTCTTGCACGCATGGAAGTTTGTTCATCGTTGATGTGATGTGGGATTCACTTGTACATAAAGTTACGAACAAACTTTTGCACTGAACGTGCTCGAAGAAAGTCTCCAGAGAGAGAGAGGTTACTACGATGGTAATGGGTGGGTGCGAGAGAAAAGGAAAGGCAAGGCAGAGCAGATCAAAAGGAATTTGTGTTGCAAACCAGAGGAGCAAAAGAGTCACTGGAAGAAGAGCTACAGACAGAGAGTTCGACTGGAGAGGGGGAAAGAACAGTCTATCTTTGATTTGTGTTGTGTCGTGGGCTAGTCTTTTTTTTGTTTTTTATTTTTTCTGAAGGCCTATTTTGCTTTGAAAACAACATAAAAATATAAGTATTAAAAGTAGCAAAAGTTCATGTGGCAGGGAATGGGAAGAGGAATGTAGGCACGCCAACAACAGCAAACATGTTATACTATATGTAGTATATTTTTTTTTTTTAATAAAAGTTGAGAAGGTACCGGGAGAAAGGAATGGGGTGGATGTTGCAGAGAGTGACACTGTGAAAAAGAAAATGGAGAGGTATTGTTTTTTGTTTTTTATATTTTCATTTTCAAAGTGGGGGGTTGGGCTTGTTTCATTTTAAATTTTTTATAAAGATAATTGTAGTCTCTATATGTTATAATTTTATTCTTTATAAAAAATGATATTCTTTTTTAGATGAGACATTAATAAAAGTGCTTAAAATTATTAAAAAATAAATGATTTATGAAGCTATAATGCAATGTTTTTAAAAGAAAATTCATCGTGTACAATTGAAGTTTGGATGGAAAGTACTCGTTTTCTGTTTTTCTAGTATTATTTTCTTCTAAATTTTTTTTGAAGCTTTTATACTGTGACCCCTTCGCCCGATAATCCTGGATCTGCCACTGTCGGTGAGGATGACTTGAGGGAAGCTGGTGGCGTTAGAAATGGTGCCGTAAAGATTGATTCCTTTGCCGACGTTGGCGACGCTGTGGAATGCCTCGGACCACCACTCGTAACTCGGGATGCCGAGTCGGGGAATCGGAGGGGCCGAGTTAAGAGTTGGGAGATTTTCTCATCCAATGTGAGGCGCAAGACCAGGTCCTGGACTCTTCGGTTGATGGGGAGGGCGGTTTTGCAGAAAGGGTAGGAGCTGGCTGATTGCTGGGACGAGTCACAGGCATATGGATGCTGAGTTGACTCGGTCGGGTAAAAGAGGAGGGTGGTGAAGAAGAAGAAGAAGAAGAAAAGAGGTGTGGGTGGAGTGAGAGCTTGAAGCTTCATGGTGTGGTGGTTTGGGTTAGATGCGGAAGTGAATGCAGAAAAAAGTGAAAGTTTATAGGGCAGAGGCATGGACAAAGGTCTCTGTCCACTGAGGACCGAGCCTTTATTTGTTTCAGATCATTCCAATTAAATAATAATAAGGTATTAGTTTTTTTTTATACATATATTTTTTTTTTTTTTTTTTTTTTTTTTTTTTTTTTTTAAAAAAAACTTTTTGTTTGTGAGAACAAATTGTTTCTAAGTGAAAATTACTTTATTATATTGGTTTTTTATTTTTAAATAAGTGATATTAGAGAAGAAGATGAATTCAACTATGACCTTGAATGCATGAGTAAATGTTCTTAATTATTTGAGTTACAAGCTCTTAGTTAATTTATATTTGAATTAATCTATATATATATATATATAAAGCAAAAGGAATGGTGAAACATTCAAAATACAAAAAATGTCATTGATTAATGCAAATATTAAAAATAGAAATTATTAATTAAATGAGGATAATATGGTAAATTCATATTTTTTTATATAATAAAAATAAATTAAAAGAAAAATCCGATAATTGATCCTATTTTTATGGAACACAACTACCCATTATCTTTTTTAATTCTAAAATAAATTTAAATTTTTTTAAAAAAAAAACACATCTCGCAGGCGCATAAGCGAGTGCAAAGAGGCTAGTTTTACTAATTGAAATTTGAGGAAAAAAAAGATAGACACAAAGGGAAAAAGAGGAGAGAAGTGCCACTAGTTGATAGATACAGTCAAACAAAAGAGTATAATAAAAAAAGCAAAAGATAAATGACTCACCCACTTCAATCAGCCTCACTATCCTTATAAAACCATCACATTTCCTTTTTAGATTATCAATTTTATTAAAACCAGAAACTATCTTCTGATCCTTACTTCCCAGCCGAGCAAACCCAATACACAGTGTCCTCATCATATGCTGCAAGGTAGGTTATGCAAAAATCAAAACTACAGCAACTAGAAGTTGTCGTCTTAAGTTGTGTACAAGCCAAACAATAGATAACATTATGTTTGACAGTGAAGGACTCAAGATATGAAAATTTTGGGGTCCTTACCAGATTCTCCTCGATTGTCCTCAACCTCCAAAAGCTGCTCAATTGCAGTGTTTATTGACATATGTCTAGGTTGTTCATACTGCTTCCTTCCACTGAAAGATTCAAGGAAGGTAGAAAAGAGTAAATAAGTCTATGCAAAAGCAGAATCACAAAGCACATAAAAACAAGACACAGTAAATCCCTCCAAGCTGAAAATCAAAGAGAAGGCAGTCAATCATTTGAACACGGACCTGCACAAAGATTCCAGAGTCGGTTCCTTCACGCGTATATCTACAGTGAAAAATAAATTTGTGATGAAAGTTTATATAGAGCAAGATAAGCGTTTTGAGAAAATATTTAGAATCCAACCTAACAAGCAGAGAGTATGCAGTCCAAGCCCACGATTGTTTCGAATCTTGTCGTAAAAGCTATCAGGCCTCCAAGTTTCAGTGAAGAATGGAATTGAAACTGTCTCTCCATAGTGGTAGAGTTGTAAGCCACAGATTCCAACTGCATTCATCACCGATGCATTATGCACCACATTGACATATATCCCCAACTTATTGGCTCGAACAACAAGATCAGAGTGAGTTGTAGCTCTGTGTTCCAGATCAAATTATGCAAGAAATGAATTTGTATATTCAGAAAAAACAAACTGATCAAATAAGTCTCCCATTCAATCATAATTCCTATACTCTACTTCAATTGATCAAATAACTCAATTAAAATGAAAAGTTGTTGGGAACCCAATTTCAATTACTTGTCAAAAATAATTCTTTGGAAACAAATATATAACATAATAAACTGACATTCCAAAGAAAGGCATACCCAAAAGGATCTCCAGCTACAAGGAAAGCCACGTTAGAAGCAGCAGCTGCACTTAGAATTTGGTCGGCCTTCTCCTCCACCGTTTCTCTATCTGCAAGTGTGACTGGTTTTCCATACAATTTTTCCTGTGCATTGAAATTTCTTCTAAACTGAACACGTAGGTTTGAAAACAAATAGAGCAAGAGAGGGAGAGAGGAGGAAAAGCCATACCAATGTGGAAAGGCAGTTGGAAGAGAGACTAAAAGAGAGAAGGGAAGTGCAGGCCTCCATGAAAATCTGGTCACATTGCTTCACTGCTTCTAAGCCCCTCAAGGTAATGCTTTTTCCCCCCCCAAATCCCAGTTATACTATGTGCAGCATCCCTCTCAGCCTCTTCCCAAAACCCTCCGTCTCTGATTGGTGTCATTGTCTCCGACGGTCTTCCTTGTTAATTTTGTAACAATCCAGCATTTCTTCTTCCACCGGATGGGTCTTGCCGGCTATGACAAGGCAATGGAGAGGTGCTCCAAAATCAACCAACTGTAGTTGCTTCATTGTGCTAGAAACTATCTTCTGATCCTCACTTCCCAGCCGAGCACACCCAACACACATGGTGTCCTCATCATATGCTGCAAGGCAATGCAAAAATCAAAACTACAGCAGCTAGAAGTCATCTTAATATTTTATGTTTGACAGTGAAGGCCTCAAGATATGAAAATTTTGGGGTCCTTACCGGATTATCCTTGATTTTCCTCAACCTCCAAAAGCTGCTCAATTGCAGTGTTTATTGACATATATCCATGTGGTTCATACTGCTTCCTTCCACTGCAGAAGAGAGTAAATAAGTCTCTGCAACAGAAGAAGCGCAAAAAAACACAAAAACAAGACACACAGCCTGAAATAAAAAAGAAGACAGTCGATCATTTGAATACGGACCTGCACAAAGATTCCAGAGTTGGTTCCTTCACGCGTATATCTACATTGAAAAATAATTTGTGACGAAAGTTTATAGCAAGATAAGCATCATGAGAAAGAGTATTTAGAACCCAACCTAATAAGCAGAGAGTATGCAGTCCAAGCCCGTGATTTTTCTTATCTTGTCATAAAAGCTATCAGGCCTCTGAGTTTCAGTGAAGAATGGAATTGAAACTTTCTCTCCGTAGTGGTTTAGTTGTAATCCACAGATTCCAACTGCATTTGTCACCGAGGCATTAGGCACCACTTTCCACATCAATCCCGAACTTCGTGGCTTGAACAACAAGATCAGTGTGAGTTGTAGCTCTGTGTTCCAGATCAAATTATGCAAGAAACGAATTCAGAAAAACCCAATTGATCAAATAAGTCTCCCATTCAATCATAATTCCTATACTCTACTTCAATTGGTCAAATAACCCAATTAAGACATAAAGTCGTTAGGAACCAAATTTTAAATACTTAGTCAAAAATGGTTCTTTGGGAACAAATATATATAACATAATAAACTGACATTCCAAAGAAAGCCATACATACCCAAAAGGATCTCCTAACTACAAGGAAAGCAACGTCAGAAGCAGCAGCTGCAGTTAGAATTTGGTCGGCTTTTTCCTCCACCGTTTTTCTATCTGTAACTGTGACTGGTTTTCCATACAAGTTTTCCTGTGCATTGAAATTCCTTCTAAAAAACTGAACACGTACGTTTTGAAAACAAATAGAGCAAGAGAGGGAGACAGAAGAAAAGCCATACCAACGTGGAGAGGCCGTCGGAAGAGAGACCAAAAGAGAGTAAGTGTAGGCCTCTATGAAAACCTGGTCACATTGCTTCACTATTTCTAAGCCTCTGAAGGTAATGTCTTTCTCATCCGCCAATCCCAGTCCTACTATGTACAGCATCCCTCTCAGTCTCGCCCCTCTGATTGGTGTTCTTGTCTCCGTCTGTCTTCCTTGTCTACCTTTGCCTAGGGTTTACGGTTTACTGTTGTTTTTGTGGGGCTTATCAGTGTTGCCAGGCTTGTTAAGTCCAACCATCCAACACAGTTCGCATGGGCTGGGCTGTAAAAGCTGGGGCTTTAGACAACAAAATTTATTTATGAAATATTTATTCAAAAATTCATTTTAGCATGATATTATATATAAATTTATATAGATACTATTTGTAGAGAAAAACTCAAAACTTACCACTTGTCATTTTCTAATTGCTTCTTAATGAGATAAAAATTTATAAGAACTAATTAGAAAATAAAAAGTATCTAGTTTTGAATGTTTCACTCCAAATATGCTCTACAAAGACTTTTATATATTATGTCATGCTAAAATGAGTTTATTAGTAAAATCTTATTTAGTTATGTATTTAATACCGAGGGGTTAGCTAAAGCCCAACCTTGTTCTCCTACAATTGTTTTGGCCATTGTAATTTATATTTTTTTTGGTCAAATATCAAGTCAAAGTGGGAGGTAGGGTTGGTTTTCAAACGGATCAAATCGGAATCAGGGGATTCCCATTCCAATCCAAAACAAAATTTTGGAATGAAAATTCTTTTCCAAAAAAATTCAGAATTTAACACATTTTGGAAAATTTCATAAAATTCTTGGAAATATTAAGCATGTCTAACGATTTGAAAGGATAAAATTGGCTCAAAATTGGAAAAATCAAACGAAAAACTATTAAATGTTATGACTTAGATGTTGTTACCGTTTATGAAATTACTCGTCTATGTCTATTTGGTCATATTTAGTTCAACATGAAATTAGTCACTCGGCTATATTATTTATAAAAAAAATTACCCCAGTAAAGCCGAACGGCTATACTTGTTATAAAAAAAAATCTAAAGTATAGCCACGCGGAAACGACAATCGAGGACCTCGGCAGTTGTTCCAAAGTATTGCACAATGATAACGACTCGTCATCTTTAGTTGTGGAGGAAGACGGGGATTTCGCCACGTCGTCATTGCTATTTGGTTTGGACTTGGGATTTTTGATCTTTTGCTTCAATTATATGTTTCTCTTTGGATTTTAGTTGATTTAGGGAATGTATTTTACGCTTTGATGATCGATTTATCTTTTGTTGCAATTTCAATTATGGATCTCAGTTTTGTTACTTCTATGACAGAGTATTAACAAGATAGTTAACTGACATAGTATTAACAATGTACTTCTATGACATAGTAATATTAACAAAATAGTTCTATGACGTAATAGTTCTATGATATAGTATTAACAATGTACTTCTATGAAGAGCCCCTCCTTGGTTTTCACAATTTTTTTTAAAAATAAATTGTTTGGGTTTTTTTTTAAAGATTTGAGCTTGGTTTGTTTTGTTTGGTTTTTTTTTTTTTTTTTTTTTTTTTTTTAAGTTAATCAGTGGCAATCATGTAATTTATAGGAACTTCAACACCCATTTTTATGTAGTAAATTGGTTTTGGGTGTGTTTTCTTAAGTGCATTTTTTTTTTTTTGGTTTTTTTTTTTTTTTTTTTAAATTTTTTCCCTATTTTGGGTATAATAATGAAGCTCTCTTTAATTTTCATAGTTTAATTGTTTATGGTTGATTTTGGGACGGTTTGCACAGAGTATATAAAATTACTCGACAAAACCTTTGTTTTATTTCATTTTGTTTTTCCTCGCAAGGATAAACAAACTGTAAGGAAAATTCTCCAATAAGTATTTAATGTTAAGGATAAACAAACTGTAAAGCATCCTAGATAAAGTCATACCATAGCGCACACGTACATGAAATAAATTACAAGAAGGAAACATCTATGGCGAATCTTTCTTCTGAAAAGAAGATATAGAGAAAGTGAAATGTGTGTAGCAAAGAAGCACGTTCTGATCAGGTAGCCAAAGGACCAAGAGCAAGCAATTCGCCACATGTCATCATATGTACCGGCTTCGACAAATGCAGCATCTGAGTTGAGAGGAAGTGAGAAACTTGTTTCATTGTTGGACGAGATTTTGGGCTAGAATTCAAGCATGAAAATGCTATCTTCATAAGAGAGACCACTTCGCTTGCAACTTGATGCGTAGGAGGGGAATTGCGTTGGTCCAAAACATCCACAATTGGTATTTGATGGGCTGGTAATGCTGACAATGATGATGAGGAGGAGGAGGAGGAGGATGAAGAGACTGATGAGAAAGACGACAAAAGATCTCCAGGATGCTTTCCCATAATTATTTCCAATGTGACTACACCAAAGCTATAAACATCGCAGTTCTCATTCACTTCCATTGTGTAAGCAAGCTCTGCTCAGAGAAAACCGTAGAGAAGTGGCATTATTAGTTTATAGACATAACTATTCAATGGAATTTTAACGAAATTGTATCATGCATAAATTGAATGATTAGTTTATAGTCCTATTTTCTAAATCAAAGAAGTGAAAATGTGTTTATGTTAACTTCTCCTTGTGATGAAAATGAAGCATTGGTCTAAAACCAAAAAAAGGGCTAAATACAAAGAACAGGGAATCGCAATATTACCTGGTGCAATGTAGCCATATGTGCCTGCAGCGGCAGTCCAATTAGTTGAGTCTGGATTTAAAAACTTAGCTGTGCCAAAGTCTGAAACACATGCCTCATATTCAGAATCCAACAAAATGTTCTTGCTTGAGATGTCACGATGTACAATCGGTGGCAAGCAATTGTGGTGCATGTAAAACAAGGCATGAGCTACACCTTTAACAATATTCACCCTTTTACTCCACCCCAACTCTTTAGCTTCTTCATTTTTGCTCAACATTGTGGCCAAGCTACCTCTTTCGAGATACTCATACACCAAAAATGAGTGTCGTTTATGTGCACAGAAACCATAAAGCTTCACAATATTTCGATGTCTTATCTCAGTGAGTGCCCTTACTTCATTCAAGAACTCCTTTTGAAATTCTATCATACCATCCCATAGCGGATGGAGTTTCTTCACGGCCACTACGTCTCCATCTGACAAATTCACTTTGTAGACGCTTCCATGTCCTCCCTTCCCAATGCAATATGTGGAATCAAAATCTTTTGTTGCCCTTATGATTTCCTCATACATTGATTTTCCATCAAAATTTAAAACTGAAAAGGAAATTTCTCCATGCATGTGGATTTGTTTAGTGTCTTGATGCTTCTTCTTTCTTTGCACTATTACATAGACAATTGTAAAGAAAGCAGATACAAATACAAATACAGCTAGAAGAGAGAATATTAACTTGTGGTCCTTTTTTGAGCCATGTGCATTGCAGGGTGGCAGCAGAGCTCCAACTTTGCCACACAATCCTTTGTTCCCTTTCAATCCTTCTGCCGGAGCTTCTCGAAATGCACTGATGTTGGGAAGGGGACCTTCCAAGTGATTGTAGGATATGTTAACGTACAACAAGCCATGCAACTCTTCAAAACTTGATGGTATGGAACCCGAAAGATTGTTGTGGGAAAGATCAAGTGTCACCAAACTCTGCATACTGCCCATTTCTGATGGTATCTTACCTTCAAGTGAGTTATGACTTAAATCCAGGTCATTCAATTGAGCTAACTTCCCCAACTTAAATGGAATTGCTTGAGATAACTTGTTGTTGCTCAAATTCAGATGGTATAATTTGAGCAAGTCACCTAGAATGCTTGGAATTGAGTTACTGAATTTATTTGTTGACAAGTCAAGATATTCAAGATCATTCAATGATCCGAATTCCGACGGTATACGACCCGAAAGTTGATTTCCATTCAACATCAAATTCACCAACAAAGATAACTTCCCAAATTCTTTTGGGATCAACCCAACTAAATTATTTGAAGAAAGGTCCAGCACATGAATTTGGGTTGTGTTGCCAATCTCAGGTGGGATGAGACCATTTAAATTGTTGTGGGGCAACTTTAGATCTTGAAGAGATTTCAAGTTCCCTATCTCCTTGGGAATCAAACCAGAAAGTTGATTGGAACTCAAGTACAAATACTTTAGCTTTATTAAGTTACTAATATTTGGAGGGATAAGACCATTTAAATTGTTGTCAGACAACATTAGATGTACAAGAGATTTCAAGTTCCATATCTCCTTGGGAATAAAACCAGAAAGTTGATTGTCATTCAAGTACAAATAGTTTAGGTTTATTAAGTTACCAATATTTGGAGGGATGGGACCACTTATATTGTTGAAGGATAACTCTAGATCTACAAGGGATTTCAAGTTCCCTATCTCCTTGGGAATCAAACCAGAAAGTTGATTGACGTGCAAGTACAAAGTTTTTAGCTTTATTAAGTTACCAATATTTGGAGGGATGGGACCAGTTAAATTATTATAGGCCAACTCTAGATCTACAAGAGATTTCAAGTTCCCTATCTCATTGGGAATAAAACCAGAAAGTTGATTGGAATGCAAGTACAAAGTGTTTAGGTTTACTAAGTTACCCATATTTGAAGGTATGAGACCACTTAAATTGTTGAAGGCCAACTCTAGATCTACAAGAGATTTCAAGTTCCCTATCTCCTTGGGAATCAAACCAGAAAGTTGATTGGAATGCAAGTACAAAATGTTTAGGTTTACTAAGTTACCAATATTTGGAGGGATGGGACCAGTTAAATTGTTGAAGGCCAACTCTAGATCTACAAGAGATTTCAAGTTTCCTATCTCCTTGGGAATCAAACCAGAAAGTTGATTGCCATCCAAGTACAAAGTGTTTAGGTTTATTAAGTTACCAATATTTGGAGGGATGGGACCACTTAAATTGTTGGAGGACAACTCTAGATCTACAAGAGATTTCAAGTTCCCTATCTCATTGGGAATCAAACCAGAAAGTTGATTGAAATGCAAGCACAAATAGTTTAGCTTTATTAAGTTACCAATATTTGGAGGGATGAGACCACTTAAATTGTTGCTGGACAACCATAGATCTACAAGAGATTTCAAGTTCCCTATCTCCTTGGGAATCAAACCAGAAAGTTGATTGTCATCCAAGTACAAAGTTTTTAGGTTTATTAAGTTACCAATATTTGGAGGGATGGGACCACTTAAATTGTTGTAGAACAACTCTAGATCTACAAGAGATTTCAAGTTCCCTATCTCCTTGGGAATCAAACCAGAAAGTTTATTATCATGGAGATAAAGATAGGTAAGATTTCTTAAGAGACTGATTTCTGGTGGGATTCTCCCGGAAAACTGATTTTCGGAGAGATCAAGATGGTGGAGTTTGGAGAGATACTTGATTTGAGGTGGGATGGCATCAAAGAGTTTGTTTGAGCTGAGGTTAAGATATTCAAGATTAGGGAAGGACAAGAATGAAAACTCATGTAGCGTACCTTGAATACCACAAGTGGAAAGGTTTATCTTGCTGACACTTCCAGCTGAGTTGCACGAAACACCAGTCCAAGTGCATGGGCTTGTTCTTTGTTTTCGATTGGTGCTGGAAGAATTGGTGGCATTAATATTATGAGTGGGAGGGTTATACCAAGTGAGGTTATTGAGGGCTTGATTTGGAAATAAGCTGGCTTTCCATTTGAGAAGAGCCTTTGCCTCAGTATCATCAGAAGTAGAAGTAGCAGAAGGAAAAGCAACCCAATTTGGTGATGAAACATACAAGAAGATGACAAGGAAATAAGGCTGGAAGCACAATTTAGCGGAAGTTAAAGATGTCATGGTCATTGTTTGTGTGGTATACGTATATTGTATGGGCCGTGCCTTACTAGTTATATATAGTGTGGGTTAGTCTTTGGGGTTCAGTCGAGCATTGAAAAGTCTTTCGGATCTTATCTATAATCAGTTTTCTTTTGAGTAAAGGTCTCAGTCTTTCATTCTCTAAATTTAAATGACAATTTTGAATTTTCTGGATGAAATAATGAAATGAAATTGATGGAGGTGAGAGATAGCAGCAGGAGTAAAAGTCTCAGTCCCACCCACCTGAATGCTTGACAAAGATCTATTTGTTTACTTCAAATCTCTCTATCCTCAAAATCAGGCCAAGTATTTTTTTTACTATGGAGTGAGATTGCTGCCATTGTTAGAATTGTAATAAGAAGATAACAGATTGAATGAAATTTAGATACAAATTGCGTTTGCGAAAAGCTTGTTCCTTGTGCTCTTGAATAAGTTATCTTTCACCTCAGTGTTTGTTCTTACAATGGCTGGAGTCAAAGTCTTTGTCTCTCGTTCTTTATAGTTATAGTTAAATGTCAATTTTGCATTTGTTGGACTGAATTAATGAAATAAAATGGATGGAAGTGAGAGTATCATTGATGGTTTGTTTTGTCATTTATTGGATAAATTCATTTGATTATTGTGCTCCTCCGATGCCACTACTGATAATTAAATAGTCAACTTAATTTTTAATTTACCACCATTTCATTCCCAATTCCCATTGATTCATGTTCAATAAAAGGCTATGTGAAGCCTTTGATTATTCATTTGATTATTTCTTGTGACAAATTTATCCATTTATAAAATGACTTATAAGGACAAATGCCCCTCCTTCCTCTCCAAGCTCTCATCCTCACTCTCTCCCTCTCCGAGCTTTCTCCTAGTCTCCTTCTACCTCTCAAGGTGTTCCCTCTCTCTCCCCCTCTCTGTATATGCTTGCCTGTTTTTGAACTTTGAAGTGGAACTTCAGTTTGCACAGTGTTCTTGTGGTTGATTTAGTTTGTGGGTTTTAATCGTTGTACAACTTGATGAAGATGGTGGTTTGTTATTGTTGTTTTTGCTCAGCAAATGCAATCCAGAATGTGGTGATAATTGTTTGTGTTGTTTATGTTAGCTTTTTCACTGGGAGTTTTAGGTTCAACTATGACTTTTCCAGTTTCAAGGGTAAAAGGCCTTCAATGGAGGATTATTTTGTGGCAAATATATCTGACGTTGATGGCCAGATGGTTTCATTTTTTTGTGTTTTTGATGGTACGGTAAAATTCAAGTTGTTCATTCAGGAATTTGTAGGACTTAAATAATTAATAATTATAGGGTATTTTAGGAATAATGGTGGGTGTAAAGAAAAAATTGTGTTTTTTCAAATGTACATGGTTGGTGAGAAGATAAGGTGGGTGAGAAAATAGGATTGAAGGTGGAAATAGTAGCACTCTATATTTAATACTAACTTCATAAATATGAGAATTTGCTTGAATAATTAAAGGGTATTTTAGGAATAATGGTGAGTGGAAAGATAGGACGGTATTTTTTAAAATTTATATAGTGGGTGAAGAAATAGGACAAATGGGTGGAAATAGTAGCACTCATTTTTTTTTAGTCAATCTACCCTCTAGTGCTAAATTTCCTTACATTCCAACTATTTTACAGTTAAAAGATACCATGTGGGCACTCTGAGGGCAAATTGGTCAATTTGTATCTTATAAATAATTCAAAACTGAAAAATAAAATAACATAGATATACACACAAAAATAGAGAGAAAAATAACTTTTTTTGTGTGGGTATATTCGAGTAATTTGTTTACTTCAAATCTCCCTATCCTCAAAATCAGGCCAAGTCTTTTTTACTATTAGTGAGCTTGCAATTGTTAGAATTGTAATAAAGAAGCTAACAGATCGAATGAAATTTAGATACAAATTGCGTGCAAAAAGTCTGTTCCTTGTGCCCTTGAATAGTTATCTTTCACCTCAGTAGTTGTTCTTACAATGGCTGGAGTCAAAGTCTTTGTCTCTCGTTCTTTATAGTTATAGTTAAATGTCAATTTGCATTTTCTGGACTGAATTAATGAATTGAAATGGATGGAAGTGAGAGCTCATTACTAGCTATATGCTTGAATAATGCTTGGCACATTATTATTATTATTTATTACTTTTTCTTGGTGCATGGCTATTCTCAGTTGCCTTAAGCGACTTAGAAATCAAACTCACGTGGCTTTACCTCTTAGTAGCATTAATGGTCCATTTTCAACTTCTTATTTTTTTCCTCTTTAATCTCTCACCAAACATAAGCAGAGCTATTTATATAAATAATATATATATATAAGAGAACCTGCATAGTGATTAGGCGGCTACATGTCCAAAACAGCCACGCGGCTATACTCGATAAAAGGAGTATAGCCACGACTATACTATAAAAAAGGACCCGCATAGCGGTTCGGCGCCCACATGTAAAAACCGTATAGTCGTGCGACTATACTATTTTTTATAATTAAAAACTGTAGTTTAGCCATGCGGTCGTACTCTTTCAGCATATTATATTTAAAAAGAGTATCGTCGCGCAGCTATACTATTTATATAAACATAAAAACAAAAGAGGTCCCGCATAGCGATTCGGCATGGGGCTATACTCATTAAGTATGTTAAAAGAAGTATAGCCGAACGGCTATACTATTTATTTAAAAAAGATTACAAAATTCCCCGTAAAGCCGCTCGGCTATACTCGTTTTAAATATACAAACTCAATGAAATGGTATTCGAGCATTTGGTAAAGGACTTTGCACATTTATATACTATTTGAAAACCCAATCTTTTTTAATATTTTTTTGTTATCACATTAATTCAATCCCAGACTTGCACTTTGTATCACACTTGCCACAGGAATGTACCATTATGAAAGCAATTTTAGTGCAGTTTATTAGCAATACTCAAACACGTAAGCAAATTGAAAACTTAAACGTACTACGTAGGAACGGTAATAACTAACTCTTGCTTTGTAGTTGAATGAAAGATATCTTCTGATTTTAAATATATATATATATATATATATACAGTCCCTTTTTATTGAGGGACGCCCTTTAGGGTACCCTACAAATTTTTTCCCAATGATCCAAACCATCTATTTTTAAAGTCTTCATTCATAGATCATCCTTACAAAAAATTAGACAAATTTGAAACCGTTTCGACATCCAATTGTGTCTTACAAAATCAATGAACACAATGCTTCAAGAAAGTACTAAAATTTCTATAACTCAAATGAGTGGTCAAATGATATCGGATTCAAGTAATTTTTTGTAGAGATGATCTTTGAATGAGTATGTACAAAATAGACGGTTTGGATTAGTGAAATACAATCCGGAGTGGGGCCTACAAGAGGTGTCCCTCAAATAAGCTTATTTGAGGGATCCCTCAATGGAAGCTAAACTTGGACAAAAACAAAAAATCGGTTATTTGGTGCCAAAAACAAAAAAGGCTAAACTTGAACATAACTTTTATTTGAAGCATTGTTTTTTTTTATTTTAGAAAATTCAGGATACAAACTTCTTTTTATAAGTCAATCTCCCCCCAACTGCTAAATTTCCATTTTATCATTAAAAGATACCAAGTGGATACCATAAGGGCAAATTGGTCAATTTGTACCTTATAAACAAGTAAAAACTGAAATAGAAAATAAGATCAAACATATGCACAACAAAAAAGAATTATAACATAAATAGAGAAAATACATTCTTTGTTTTTCAGAATACTGTTTCCCACTCTCCAAACTATCCAGTTGGATTATAAACCCTATATCACATACAACTCTAACAAATCAAACAAAGAGAAAAACAATGATTTTTTTTTTGGTATATTCGAGTAATATTCTGCATAGATATGGGGTTACCATATCTTGGAACGTATTCAAGTTCTGCACAGCTTTCCGAGGGCTGGGCTCAGTCATTTTAAAATGATGAAATTTTAGGACAGTTAACGGTAAGGAGGAAACTGGCTAAAAAAAAAATTGTATCCTTAATTTTCTAAATAAAAAAATAATGAGGTAAAATGAAGGTTAGGTACAAGTTCACAGGGATTTCAACAGTTTAGCTAGGGGTTGAGGTTGTTCCTCAATCTGTGGTGTTTTTATTTATTTTATTTTTATAGCTTTGTTCATTTTATATTTTTTCTTATTTGGATTGTTGGGTCTCAATAAAATTTCTCTAACAAGAAAATATTAGAACCCTAACACATTGAAAAATAGGAAAGAAGCATACACATCTTCAGTCAAAGTCTTTGTCTATTATCTATAATTTAGAATATCTAGGTTAAGAGATTGGCCGTGGAGAATTTACACAATTGGAGAATATTCAAATATTCAAAATATTTATTTCTTTGGAGTGAGAGATTTCAATTTGAAGACCAACAATCAATGATCATGATTTTAATCCAAGAAGGCATAAATTCGAGGACAAAGTTTTGTCAACCCAGGGAGAATGAGGATAAAGAGCCATTAAAGTTTATGGGGCATTTGAATCAAAAGCATTAATAAGTTCAATGCATGAACATTTTGTCTTGGCTTCTAATAAATTCCATGTATTTGGAATGGAATAGCTAGAGTCGTAATTATTTGGATGGGGCTTAATGTATCTGGATTAATGGGTTAATTAATTTAGGTGTTAGTTCAATGTATGCGATCAGAGATCAAGTCTTTAAATACTTTTATGCTCATATTTCTCAAGAGAGTGGTTGTTGATAATTGAAATTGAAAACAAAGAGAGTGTTCTCTCATCTTTGCTCATAATCTTGGTATTCTTAGAATTAACAAGTTTGAGTATTTTATTCTATTTTTTATGCCAAGTTTCGGGTATTCTTAGACTAAAAGGGGCTTGGTGGTTCGTGGTTCATGTTTTCCAACATCCTTGCTCAAGTCCTTCTGCATCAGTTAGCTTGAAGAAACACAATGAGCCATGGAGGACCCTCTTCGAGCCAAACGTCTATGGACGCACTACCTAAAGCAAACTTAGCAAGTCTATCTGACA